TGCAGAAAAAATCCTCTTTAATCGTTTAAGTCGTTCTAAAATGCCATTAAAACAGTCTATAATCAATATTCTTCGAGATTGAGAAAAATATTAGATTCTTATACACGATATAAGAATTTTCAAGTAGCCCGTATTCATTTTTAATGGATGGAGGCAGTAAACTTGTTCATGGTTTTAAAAAAATTATAAAAATTCTAAACCTGCCTCATATTATGATTATACATATGACTAAAGTATTTGAACACTTCGAACACTTTACAGAATTTCTAAGCAAAAATATCACCATTTAAATGATATTTAAAATTAACAACTATTTTCTTTAATTAGTATAATTTTTGCTTCCAGTTTATGCAGTTATCGTTTCTCAAATGTCCTTCCTATGTGCTTCTGTCGTTTTTTTACCCAACCAGCTGCTATTCGCTCTCCTGTCTCGAGCTCTCCAGTCTCAATGGTTTTCATTTAAATTCTATTGCGTTTTAAATTTTTGGCCAACCCGACTCACACACTCATACTTAAGTATTTATAAATTTGAGCTCACAACGTCAGGTGAAAGCAAGTTTTCTATGCCAAAAATGAGCTTCGTGGTATGTTTCCATTTTTGTATATTATGCACATAACTTTGTGGCATGGAAACTCTGTTCACTGTTGTGGCGGCAAAGTTTTCAATTAATAAATAAGTTTCACAAAAAACAAAAACAATAACGAATTAAAGTGTGGCTTAATGTTTTTTTCGTTTCACCAAAGTTGTTCCGATTATTGTTGCAATTGTTGTGGCTTTGAGGGGCACTTACCTTTTACCAACACAATGCAACTGCTGCGGCACTCAACGAGCTTCTGAAGTTCAATGCTCGTCACACACTTAACGTACATTATTTTTAGTAATGCGATATTAATTAAGTAATAAATGAGCTTACTTTACATATGCCAGGACATTTAATTTCCATCATATTGGCGTATGTGTGTTTGTGTGGCATGCACTTATTGATTATTTGGTGGCATGCAGCAAAGCAACAACAACAAACATAATTATAAACAAAAATCTGCTCGTTTCGCATTTATGTGTTAAGTGCGTTCGGTTTTGTACAACTTTTTCAATATACACTTTTTGCAGTCTGCCAATTTCCGAGGCTAATTGTTAAAGCCAAGCGAAAGTGCAAAAAAAAATATAGTATGTATCAATATTTCTTTGCATCGCTGATAATTCATTATTGAACATATGCAGAAATATTTCGAGTTACACGCAGACATTTATTTACATATTTGTGTGCATTTGTGTGTGTCTGTTTGCAATTAAATGCAAATATGATTTACAATAATTTCAATTAAACTCAATGATTTATATTTCGCATCAATGCTACTTTTGGTATTGCTGGGTTAATTACGAATGCGAGTAAGCGCGTAAAATGCAATACTGAATAGCGCGGAAATGCTGCTAATTATGAAATATGCCCTAACCAGTTGAGGATAGTCTGTTTATTTATCTGTTTGAGTTTTAAATACCCTTTAATCCATGGCAATTTACATTATTTTAATCAAATCAGACAAAAGTCTTTTTGATGTTCGTTAATAAAAATTATTTTTAAAATTTGGATAACTTAAAGTTTTACATAGAAAAAATTAAACTTGATATTTGGCGTTGAATTACGGATTGGTAATTATTCTCATTAAAAATAAGAAAACGAAGCAATAATATAATATTCAATCATCTCAAAGTATAACACACACCTAAACAAAACAGTATTCGATCCAAATAATTATTTTTTTGAAAATACCTTCATAAAATCTATTTTATTCTTTTGTTTTTTAATTCACTCTTATTATTCAGTCCAAACGACGCTTCAACTAGTGTTAAAATGAATATAATTATAACGTTTTATCGCTTTGTATTATATGCTCAACAATGAAAAATAATTAATTAAATCATATTATAAATCATCATACATACTATTTATAGTAGTATGTGTGTAGTAACTGTGTTGAATTCCCAAAAATTTTAAAGTTCTTATCAGAGATATCACATTATCAGAAAAAAGACTATTAAAATACCATATTTTCGAGAAATTTAGCAAAGCTGTAAACGAATTCAACGCTGGTTTTGGAACTTCAGAGCACTTGAAGTAGGATTGCCTTTTACTATTCTCCAGTCTCTTTTTCATAAATAGACGGATATATTTCTGATCTTTTCATCAAAAATGTACACTCGAATATACATTTTTTTAATATTTTTAATTTATTACTACATTTAATTAATTTTTGCCAAGCAGGAAACATTGTGAAGTGTTCCATTGACGTCAAAATATCGCAGGAATTCTTAACTTTCTGACACTTTGACATCAAATGCCAAATGGAAAAAAACCATAAGACTGACGATTTAGTAGATTTTGATATACAAGTATGAGTATTGTCTGAACACGTAATGCATCAGAAGATGCATATTTCCATGAACCTTGATTTTGATTAATTAGTAATGAAAGCTTTGCATTTCCTAGCCCCCCTTTTCGTCTTTACAACCCTCCAATGTAATTGCCTGCCCTCAGACACATGGGTAGCCACGCAAAAGTATTTCTGCAATTATGGTTGTGGCAGCTATTTGTTGCAACGCCCCGTTAATTATATGCCAGTCCCGCAAATGAAAAGCATTTGTAGATGAAGCAGCAGCAGCGTTTAAAGGGAGCTACCTCCGCAGTCCCGCCTGAAGCATTAACGTAGCAGGAGCGTGCAAAACAAATTTCATGCACATTTTCATATTCAGTGTACTTTGCCAATTTTCTACATTTCCATTCTCCTTCGTTTTCTGCTTCTTCGTCTCATTATTATTATTATTACTTTTTTCGCTAGCAACATGCAACTCTTTTGACTCGATTTTTTGTTTTTCTTGGCTTTGTTTCTGCCATTATGCCAATTGTTTGCTCATTTCACAATGCACAGAAAAGTCAGCAGAAAATGTTTTTGATGGCGGAGCGCGCAAAAAGTTGAATCAGAGTGCTGGCTTTTAGATTTCCCAGTCTTCTTAAATTTGTTGTTGCGTCGCCAATCGATTTGTTTCGAATTTTTAATCAAATTAATGCAACACTGTTTACGCGCTTCATTGCAGAAATGGTTAATTGTTAAAAAACTTGATATGAAAAAGTAAATCAATGGAGTATGTCTTAATTGATAAAATCATTACAAAGTTTACCTACGTTGTGTTTTGGTATTTTATTTGTATGCGAATTGTCGTAAATTGTTGCGTATTTTAAAGGTGTTTCCACATTTGTTTATTGTTGTGTTTGTTTGGCATAAAAGCGCCCCCCAAAAAACGAGCACAAGTTAACGGAAACGTTGTGTCAGTATCATATAAAAAGAAATTAGTACAAAAATAAGTATGTAAATAGGTAGTGCTTCTTATTTGCAATAAGCTGGAACATACATGCAGTAACAGAGTGCAAATCATCTGAACGTGAAGAACTCACATGCAATAAGTAGAAAAACAAACCGTTGACATAAAACCTCATGTAACTCAACAGCTACATATATGCAACAATGTCAAACAATGTGCATTTTTTTGATAGACTTTCAATAAGCGAGTATATTTTTTAAGTGGTATGAATGGAATCAGTGGGTTTTCGAATAAGGTCTTGCGGAATTCAATAAAATTCTTTGCCCCACTGCTTTGATCATGAACATTATAGCTCTAAGTTTTATTTCTTTGTGAATTATTGGTTCCTGCTAACCTCATGTAACTCAGCTGCTCTATGAAAAAGCTTTCAGGTATTTACAAGTAGATCTATATATTTTGTTTTTAGTTAGCAGATACTTTGAATTAGTTGAAAACTTGTGGTTATTCGGTCTGTGGCATTAATCTGTCTAAATTGATGAAAATTGTTGATCCCATTCGTTTTATTATAACAATTTCATCCGCTTTAATATATTTATTAATGCTAGCGTCATTTAACTCAACTGATGTATGCAGTAACAAGAATCTGTATTCACTCACAGAACCTTAGATAAGTTATTTATCTTTATGAGTGAGAGCAATAATATTGAAAATTTTAATAAAATGCTTGATGTCATTGGCTGTATTTGGAATAAAAGGACTCTTAAACATATATTTCATGAGCTTATATTGAAATGCAAATTATTCTATCCTCATGTAATTCAGTGAAGAAATCAGTTACTAATGCATCATGATCTTTGAAAGTTGATTTATTCTACACCTATTTAACTCAGATACTATGTAAGGCTACATTTAGTTCAGACATAGAGCTGTTGCTACTGAATTACTCTGTATTAATGAGTGTGTTGCAAACTTCAACAAATTTTCAATAAAGCTTATGACAAATGAGTTCAATTTAGTACATTCTTGTTAGTCCCAAGTAACTCACAAGCTAATTAGAAGGAGCTGTCTCTTCTTTAGGAGGAACTGAAGGACATGCAATGAAAATAATTTGATGCTCTACGCAACACACATTCCGAACAGTAATGGAATGGCAACTCGTACCCTAAGCTCAACAATTATTACAAGGCATCTGCTGCTTTGCATAGCCAGCACATTAACGTATGCTGCTTATTATGTGAGTTACCAAGCGTAAGAAGCACCTTGTCCATTCAGACTGAAGACAAATATACACACGCAGCAAATTTATATGCAAGACCTTGCCAATTTGTACGCTCCGACAGCCCACACACAAATTACATGAAATCGTGGGTGCAAAACGATATATGGTTTGCTGTGCTGTTGGGCCATGAAGTGAAATTAATGGAAAAATTGTACACGAACAGTAAAATGGCGACAACTTTTTCTCCAATGAATGAATTTAAATCAACAAAAAAATAAAGGAGAATAAAGCAATCATAAACGAATGAACGAACGAACGAACGAATGTTACGAGCAACATGAAGGAACTGAAAAATAACCGAATGGCAAGGCAAAAAGCCACAACGAATAATTGAACGGAACGAACAAGCAAACGAACGAACGAACGAACGAACAAACGGAAAGGATGCAAAGGATACCTCACCTGAAGATTACTCAGCAATGCTTGGAAATACGGCATGGCCAGCAGGGTCTTAGTGCGGCTGCTGCCGCTGCTGGCACTCGCCGGTTGTGGTATTGTGTCCTGTGATTGCACTAATTGCGAATGCTATATAAACGGGACGATATATGTACAAGTACAGCATTCGCAATTGGTTATGCATTTGTGTGCACAGCGGAAGAAAGTCGGGTTAGGGGGGGAGAGAAATGTGAAAAGAAATTTGTCATTAATTGATACGACATTATTTACTACCAATATACAATCGTATTTGTTCTCGTGGGGTATGATTTCTAATATTTATTGTTGATTTGTGCAGGTAACGTGGTGGCATTAATTTTAAGTGTATTTCGGGTTATTGATTAGTTTCCGTTGTAAGAGCGAAAGAAATTGAAATCAATTATTCGCAAGGCAAACTCCTAAATTATTTAGTTCAATGATTTCAGCTCAATAGAAGGACAACGCTACATATACTTTTCAACTTTATGATGAATTAGGAAGAGCTTTCAAATATAATGGATTAAGCAGGACTGATAAAATTGCTGTGCCTTGAAGTAGAATATCTCTGAAAGACCAATAATATCGAATCAATTTCAAACAATACTGGAATTACGTTCACAAAAACGGTTAACCTAACTTTAGATAAAAAGAAGTTCTTGAATAATCAAAAGATTCAAATTGTGCTTGTTATGACGAAGATTTGTTTTATTAAAATCTTTACTATTTACAGAGCCGATCAAATTATGGGGAATGGAATTTTACTGGTTTTCGAAAACTATAGAGAAAATGTTTCCAATTTCAAATTGAACCATAAGGTCTCTATAAAAGAATCATTCAATAAACATAAATGAAATAAAGCTTTCAAGTGTGACTTCCATAATTTGATCGACTCCACAATCCTGAACACAAAACATAGTTTCCAACCACTAGAGCTCATCATCAAAGCATCGGCACTAATTCAACGGCTTATATAACACTTGGCCAACGTGATTCCGCTGTCTAACATACAATTTGGCTGTGGCAATAGGGGTCGTTGGAACTAAGCCTTTACGAAAATATCAACATACGAATGTAGAACAACAATATACCATAAAATCAGGTTATACTTTTTCCGCTTTGTTGTTGTTATTGTGGCCTTTATTGTCGTGGAAAGAAATTGGGAGCATTGTAAAGTGCCGTTAGATGTGCTCTGCCGCTGTCTGCCAACAACGTTACGTATACGTAATTTCATTTCAAAGCGCATTATATGTTTGGACCGGCGCGCACCCAAACAAAAAAAGAATAAAGGGAAAGGGGGAAAGGGGGGGGGGGTTCTAAAAAGGGAAACGTAAGCCAACACATACAGCCGCAAAAATCTCGACTGCCAACAAGACAGGACAATACAGTTGGATATAGTAATCTACAGATATTTGTAAAGTTGATATGAGCGCAAAAGAAAGGCAAGTGGAAAAACTATCAAATTACGTATGTTGACAAAATAGGGACGAGCCCCAGGACGACAACGACAACGACCACGCTGCCTGCCAAACAAATCCAATACAGGACAAAATTGTGTAGACTCTGCAGCCTGCAATGCAAAGGCGACAAGTTAAGCTGAACGAAAAGCAAACCATTGTTAACGAAAAGACAGAAGAAGAAAAAAATGAACCCAGCCTAAACATATTTCGAATGCGAACATGTACAGGCTGCGTTCTGAGAGTCCTGTGGGTTGTTGTGTTCTGTTCAGTTCTGTTGGCACCATCATAAGCCAGCACTCACCTCATCATCCATAATGCTGCTGTCCGCATGCTGCACACCATCAGATTTTGGCCGACGATTGCGTTCACGTCCATTATTCTGGCCAACTTGTCCCTGCTGCTTGCGACGTGTATTGCCATTTTGCTGCTGGTTCTGTTGCTGTTGTTGTTGTGAGCTGCAAATGAAGTGAAAGAGAATTGAACAGAGAGATGGTGAGTGTGTGTGAGAAAAGCTAATAAATGCATACCGAATATTTGCATAACCTTAAGCATAGGAAAGCAACTTCGAATGATCTCATAAATACACGAGGTTTGTTTAAAAAGTATGCCCAACATTTCTTGAAATCATAATTGTTGTTAACTCGTATACATATTGTGAAATTATTTTTTACATTCGATATAATATAAATTACATATGAGTTTCAATTCAACTTTTATTCTAATCAAATGATGATATGTTCTTTGATTGCACTTATTTATGTGGGCTATCTATTTATGATTTTAGATCTGTATTTAACACGAGCTTCGAAAACATTTAACACTTTTTTTAATTGTGAGACTTTTGATAATTTATAGAATTTAACATATTTTGTTGCAACAATGTTGTTTACGTCTCAATCACACCTCATTTGCATTTGATTTTCATTTGCTATTCGCTTGAGTAAACAGCATATACTCGTCTGGGGGATTTTAGCACTGTATTCCACATCCATCCTTACTTAACCCCAAATAAACACAAGCAGTGATTGTTTCACCTCTGACAAACACTTAATGTAACAATAGCCCCGTTTCGACCAAAAATAAAACAACCAGCAAACAACAATGTTTTGTTTCTCCGGAAAACTTCATAAAATTCTGCTTTTCTGTATGGCCAAATGTCAAATGCACAGTCATCCAGAATGGCCGTACCTTTCGTGCTTGTCTGTCCTCATCCTGCCTGCCACAGGATTTGTGTGTTGCAGCGACTGGCATTCGGTTGTTGCCAGCCAACGGCTTTCACACAATTTTATGCAACAATTGCGCTTCACTGGCTGAATATTTTGGTTTGTATGCACAAGACACATGCACAACAAACTACCAATGCCCATAAATTGCTTTAAAAAAATAGAATAAAATGTGTTTATTTGAAGAATATATTGTGAGTGCCTTAATAGTAGACATTGAATGTAAAGTAGAACGAGCTAAAAAGTTAAGTTGTGATTTCGTACCCGCGAACTACATATCCCGCTGTTCCCATACTTTCTTGTTTATTTGCGATTTTCTCAAGTATGATTAGCAGTTGTTATCAGGACATACTCGTATTATATGCTTTCGTCAAAAAGAAGCCTCTGTACAAAATTCCATGGCAATTAAAGTGATTGAACCAAGCAGTTGGATATTGTGATTTGGATTATTAAATTGTGGTACAATATTACATACCAAAAATAATATTCACTTCACCCTTTTGGTGAAGCGTTCTAGATACAATCTACAAACATAACTCAATAAATAAATATAAAAAAAATAATACTTACTATTACAAGCAGTAGATCCCAATTAAGGGACACTACGAATATTTTAACATTTAAACAACATTTTAAAGCGGCATAGTATATCTAATTCAAACTAGAATGCTACAATCTAGCAAACCCGGAATAGATAAAGAAAATGGAACACGGTACTGCAAATTCTGAGCGCAAATGCTTAAATGCTGTAGCAGTGGAATTGGGAACAGTATTGACAAATCTGTGTAGCGGGAGGAAGAATTTAAAGTTTTAAAATAATATAAAATCGTGTTGCCTAGGAACTAAATAATAAATCAATTTACCATACTGATTAAGTATATACTCGAGTATACACTCGTACTTTACTTTACATCGCACAAACCTAACAATTTGAAGAACTCCAGTTCCTAATATTGGAATTCTTACAAAAATTATTTTATCGTGTATGAGTGAATTAAACTTTTCAGCTTCGTGTTCATTAAATTTGTAAAACAGATTTAATTGAAAACATATTCATTCTTTTGTTGTGCTAGAGACGAAAAAAAAAACAATTTTGTTTGTTGATGCATGAATATTTCAATGCTGACGTAAAATTATTCATGTTTTTTCATAAGCAATAAATGTGGGAATTAAAACATATGCATGGCTAAACGCTACAGTATAGTCAGGCATTTAACTGCCTTCCCTTCCTTTTAAATATTTTCTTAACTTTGTGAACATTCTTATTTGTTAAAGCCCTTGATCAATATTGATTCAAGAATCAAATGCCACAGGTAACATTGCCTTCGTCAACGAGATAAAAGCCATTTCTGCATGCCAGGCCTTTGCACTATTTGCTAATGGTTTATTGACTGGACATGGTAATTGTTTTTGCAACGTGAAGAAAGCAGTTGAATGGGTTGGCAAAGGAGCTGTTTTTGTATCATATTGATAGTTTATCAATATCGTTTAGCATAAACTTCGCCTGCACCAGTAATAAAAATGCTGTACGTACTTTGAAATATATTAGTTATTAGAGCTTAGGTGTGCTTCAAAAATATTTGTTTAAATTTAAGAAATTGTTGCTTTATTTATATAAGATATTTGATAAACATTTTCAAGCAAAGATCTAAAATGCTTTAGCAGCAAGAGATAATTATAGTTGCAAGGAGCTTTAAAAATATAATTGAAATTCAACTACTTTTATAGAAAGGACTACTCCATTAATAATATTAATAATAGTTTGGCCTGATCCGACTCACATGGGTTATTGCACTGGTTCACATTAATGAGTTAAAGAAAGAATTGCTTCGCACACTATTTGGCTAATTAAGCGAATGGTAAAAATGTATCAAGAATATTGTGGGCGAGTCTACGGTTGATAGATATTTCAAAGGTAGGGTATCGAACTTAAAGGGGACTGTTTACAAAAATAAACATAACTTCAAATGTTAGCGAATCGTTGCTATGTCGCATTAAGCAGTTTTTAAAATTTTTCTAGATGTTTTTGTTTCCGTAAATCTTTCTATAATTACCTAGAAATGTTGCAACGTTAGATGACAAAGAATATAATTCAATAAAATGGGATCAACCTAATCTAATAATTCTAATTATAAGCAAAATAAAAATTCTTAATATTGACAAACACTAGCAGCAAAAACATACATTAAAAAATTGACATTTTATTGTTTTATGAATGCATATTGTTAGTCCTTCGAATTAGTTTCAGTTTACTACATAACTGTAGACCGTTGACGCATTTAAAAATGTTTAAATGCACATAAAAAATGTTACGTATGCAAATATCTTATGAAACTGTGCTGGACACACTATTGGCTCTGTCTATATCTCTCTCTCTCTCTCTCTCTTTAAAATGCGAAAGAACCATAAATAATAATTTAAGTTCATTCAGAACCATATATCAAAAAACGTTTAATGCAACACAAACACACGCCCAAATTGCGTTTAAATTGCAAAGTACGAGTACGAGCGGCCAGTATGGACAGCTAAGCAGAGGAAGAACCTGCACTGCTGGTAGTAGTCCCTTAGACCGCCTACGGGCCCTGCCCCTTGGCTCATATTTGCATTTTCATGCAGAATAAATTGAAAAAATGTAGTAGAATACGACCGAATTTTGCTCTGCTGCTGTTTGACAGAAAAGCGAAATTTGTTGACCAACGCCACACATATTTAAAACATTTGAAATGCGATCAAATATTGCCGGGGTGGCCCATTCAGTTATACTCGCATATGTTCATATTTGTTTTTACGGGTATGGCGCGCCGAAAGTTAGGCAACAGTTTTTGCAGCCGCGTCGTTGATGATGTTGAAGATTTTGATGGCAATGGTGATGGTGATGGTAATGTTGATGTTGATGCATTTGTAAACCAAAATGACGCCTCTGTGGCATGCGTGTGGCTTTGATAAAATGCATTTTGCTGTTGGCTGTTTGCTGTTTGCTTTTAACCATTTGCATTAAGCAGCAACGGCGTAAACATTTCGAATTGTTGCATATATTCCTGGAAATGTTGAAACACCAAACACGTAACCTAAATTGCAAAATAAACCGCACATACGTACACGCTGGCCGCTGGAGGGGGAACGAAAGAGCCCTTCATTGAAAGTGGAAGAGAAAGTGGCAGGTGGAAACAGCAAGAAAACGAGTTAAAATTCAGTTGCCAGTATACACGACTGGGGGCTGAAATAATTTAAGCTACACTACGTGATTTAAGCACATATTAATAAAACATTTCTTTACATTTCAACATTCCTTTTTTGTAAAGATGTTATTTTATCCAATGAGTCTGATTCGAACCACATAATTGTACAATGGTTAGAGCTGGCTAAGTTTGCAGATATTTCAATAAACAACAAGAGTTTGCATGTTTGAAAGCTGCTTCAAGTTTTTAACTATTCAATTATTTTTTATTTACCAAAAAGAATGTAGAATTTATTTTGTTTCAAAACTATACAGTTGATTTATCATTAATAGCAACTACTTCACTACACATATGAAGCATTTACTAAAACATAAAATATAATCCCCCGAATTAAATCATATTGATGTTTTGTGAATAATGCGTACAATTGTTTAACAAATACCACTCATGCCAATTTAGGTTTGATTTCGATCGAGAATATTCTGACTCGAAATGAAAAACTGTTTTTATTCAATTAACTTGTTTTCAACAATTCAGCTTTAACAACTTTCATAGTGCGGAAAAATGTATTTTATTTAAAAATAAGTGAAATATTTTTCATTGTGTATATACAATTCATGAACTCAATTATTTCCTTTCCAAAATGAAAAATTGTATTCATAAAATTCACGTGCCATTCAAAAGATTTATCATCATTTTTTTATTAACGACTAAGTAAATTGCAAAACTATTTATTTAACTGCTTTTTTAACTAAGCTATTCCATGCATCATTTTGTGGTTTATAATTCTTCTATTGTTCACACTAGCGATAAAGGGTCGAAATCAACGAATCTAAAGCCATCTACCAAGCAGATTGTACGCATCAGAAGTTATTGTACAAACATAGATTGTACCCTCTACGTATTATATCTATATACAGGTGCTGTACATGACTTATCTATCTTATCTTATCTCAAATTAAGTCCGTGGTATAATTATTATCAAAAAGTCGTCTTTTATTATACAAAAATTTGTAAATTTTAAAGCAACAAATGAACAATATAAGAAAATATAAAAAAATTAGTTAGAAAAAAAACTAGAGAAACCTATTTAAATAATCGGGTTAATATAATTTATTCTGTCGAAGCTGAGCCATCACTAAGAATATTAAACGTCTATGGTTATTTAAAACATAAATTTCCATATAGAATTTTTAACACAAATCCTAAAACATTTCAACTGAAGATATGCACAATTTCATAAAAATTAATAATTTCAATCTTATTTCTGTATCGCTTCTGTTTTTCAGCCAGATGAAAAAATATAATATCCAATTGCGCTTGAGGCTAAGAAATCATTTAATATTATTGAAGAGTGTGGCAATTGGAATAAATAAAAGCATTTAAAACTAATGCTTTTGGCATGTGTACAGCATTGCTGTCCTGAAGCAGAAGCTACTCAATGAACTAACCGATGGTTATGTGATATTGGAGTGATGGCAACGGCAATGGCAATGACAACCACCTCAGCAGTAAGATATTTTCAACTCGAAAATATAATTACGCCAACTTAAAGTGGCCCCGACATACAAGTGGGAGGTTGTAGTGGAGGGAATCAGTTAGGCAACCATGAAATTTACTTACAGTTTGCACAGGAAACTTTAATGCCAAGCAAATACTAATAAAAGGCGTGCAGGATATAACACTTAGACCACAACACGCATACGCAGCGTAGGCCGCCCCAGTGAAGGGCATTCAAGGAAAGGCTGCAAAAGTGTTGTTGGCGAAGGGAAACTCAAGTTAGATAAAGACAAGACAGGAAACAAGCGCACTGCCACGTCCAGCCAGAGAAGACCTCGTTTCAGCTAAAGAAAGTGGCGTGAAAATTGCATATTATGTATACGACAAGGTGTGCGAAGCGTAGCAGGAAATGCAAAAGGAAAATGTTGAAGTTAGATAAGCAGGACAGGAAGGTCATAATCGTTGGGCGGTCAGCAATGAGCAAAAACAACGTGCTAACCCATAACTGGACAAGGTAGTGAAATGGAGCCGTTGCGTATACGCCATGTGCAACCAACTGCAATATAAACCAGACGACCATGGTGCGATAGTAGTACGAGTGGCATAACAATACAGACAGCACATAATTGGCAACAGTCTGAACTGCTTATTGTGTTGCTGCTGCGAAAGTGCCAGGAATGCGAAAGGAATGCCAAGCGGTGGGTACTCCATGATAAAGCTTTAAATAAGTCTTCGAAAAACTGTATCTGTAGTTCATAAATAGCGGTTTAAAGAACTGTATAACATATTCAATTTATGCGTTCAAAACGAGTCGTTCTCAGAATCAATTCAAACCACTTTTCATATCATTGAAATGAAATTCAAGTATCAATATTTTCTATAAATAATAATTTCTGTTTTCCTTAAAAAACAATTAGTTAATTGGTATTATTTATTTTCTTTTGATAAGGTTTTAATATATATATTTATAAAATATCGATGAATCTATATACTTTTTAATTGACCTGCGTCTATTTAAGGATCATTTGAAATAGAGGTAAATCTTCTGCACAGTAGTTGAACTTAAGTGCTCGTTATGCAAAAGCCCCTAAACGGCTTTAAAGCAAAAACAAAGAGTGTAAAACTTATAACAAGGTCACAATGACCGTTTTAACAAGTACTCACCCATTTGGGCCGCCATCGACGTCAGAGCCAGCGCCATTTGTTGCGAACGTCATGTCTGCCGATGTGAGGGCCTCCGTGCCGCTCCGTTCACGCACCAGTCGGTCTATTTGCCCGGGGGAATAGAAGTGGAGGGTTGTAAAAATGGAGGTGAGATAAACATAAACAAGTGGCACGCTCATTACGAGGCGAGCGCTCGCACTTAACACAGTTAAGAATAGTTAACGATGTCTGTAAACTGACCTGCCTCCTGGCGCACCAAGTCCTCGGCCTGCTGTCCCGGCTTCGCCTTCACCTCGATGTGTATTTCGGCGGAGCTTAGGCCGGCATGACACGAATACACGCCCGCATCACGGAATGTTATGTCCAGTATACGTAAGGCACCCTTCTTGGACACCTTAAACTTGCGCGAACGTGCTAAGGGTTTGTGGTCCTTGCTCCATTTGATTTTCGTGCGATTATAGCGCTTAACGGGACACTTAATCTTAACTTGCGTGCCAAAGAAGACGATGCCGGCGCCGCCCACTTTAAGCGTTATCTTCGTCTTCCGGGGATCGTGTTGTATGTGCGTGGTGTTGCTGATTTGTATCACCGGCTTGGGATCTTCAGGCGGACAGGGCTTGACATTGCAGGGCTTCTTATCGGGCGGCTTGACGCTCGGACACATGGACTCTGGTCGCTCTATCTTATGCTCCTGTGCCATTATCTGCTTGCACTCGACCTTGCGATCTTTGAAGCCATAGCCGCAGGTATGCGAGCACTTCGACCATTCGCCCACTTCCCAACGCACGGGACAGTCTAGCACATTACAATATTGTCGATCCGCCGGCGGTGGCTGTGGACACATGCTATTGGGGACAACCATTGTGTTCTCACCACCACGCGTCACCTCATGAATGCATTGCACCTCTCGCGTCTTAATGCCAATGCCACAGGACTTGGAGCACGGTGTATAGTCCGAGTAATTCCAACGCGGCGGACATGGTCGATCATTGCAGGTGCGTACACGTGCCTCCGGCTTGCTCTCTGGTGTGCATAGAAAGGGCGAGACCACACGTCCATTGTCCTCACGCACACAATTTATGATGAGCTCCTCGACGCCGCCCAGACACGAGGCACTGCATGAGGTATAGCCCTGTTCGCGCCACAAATACGTTTTCCCTGGCTCCGAGACTCCCACCTTGATGGAATCGCGCGGAAATTGATCGTCATAGCCATGGGAGGGCAGCATGCACGGCTCCTCGACACAACGTTCCACCTCATCGTGTGGCTTGGGGCCCTCGCAAAGCGTATCATTTACTGTGGCAACTGTGCGTGAATATTCGAGGAATATTTTGCATTTGAAGGCCCGTCGACGGATGCCCTCACCACAGGTAACGCTGCAGGGCGACCATTCGCTGTCCTTGATGAACCTGTGTATAGACACAAAGAAGATGAACATACAACAATGAAGGGCTACTTAAATACACTGCATACAAAATGTAAAGAATTTTAATAGAATTTTATGCATACAATACAAATTAATGGAACTTATGTTTAACGTGAAAAAAAAAAACTATGCAATATAATGTATCCTTCTGCAATATTTATCTCGTTGGCAACAATGTGAAACATTTTTTAAATTAGACTGAGTACAACTTGTTTGTTTTTAGAAATATTGCATTCCACAGCATCAACAACCAAAAAGGCAGCTCTAAAAAATCAACTAAAATATATTTCGACGAATTAAAAGCACTTGAAAATAAGAGCTTTGCTTTCATTCAGCGCAGAGCACTCTTTTCAAAATTGACTATAAACGGTCGTTGAGTCGCGCACAATGCCGAGTACATTGACCCAACAAGGCCTACACTCGTACAATATCTTACAAATGTAACGAGCCGTCAAGGGCCAAGCCCACACAACAAAGTGCCGCTTTTTATTTCACTAAAATGCCTTTTCCAACTTATCTTCTGGCAGTAAAACTATTGGCGCTCTCTTTCAGGCGGCGCCACCAAGTCGCGTCTTTATGCCGCCAAATAAAAACCTTGGCCTCTGTGCCGGCGGCGTCTGTGGCGTCGTCGACTACAAACTAGACGCTACAGACAAACAAAAAACAACAAACTTTCCAGCGGCAAGCCAAAATGTCGACACGCGTTTTGGCCATGATTTGGTCTGGCCTGCTTGCTCCCCCTCCTCCTCCCCCTCCTCTTCAACCACAACCCCTTGCCGCTTTTCGTAGCCTATGCGGCATGTGAGAAGCGCGCTGTTACGAAATCAGCTTGCGACCTACATTCAACGCCTCAGACAGGCTCAGTGTTAGAGATGCTGCAACATTGGCGCCAACATTTTAGTGCTCGTGGTCGTGGCCTTTTCTACAATTTGACTACAAATCAATAATGAACAGAACAGAACGACAAAGAGGTTGTCAAGGGCGGTCAAAAACTATACGCTATGTCAACAGCTTTGCGATTGTCAACGCGGTCATAAAAACCAGTACAGCAACAATAGCAATGACAGCAAACACAATACACATAAAACTATGGCTTTGTTCACGCAAACATTTCGTAGCACGCTTTTTCGGGCAGCACCACAATGCCAGTACTACCTACTACGAACTTCTCCATCAGCAGACCCCGTCATAAACCTAAGTGCTCTGTAGCGTGAAATGAAATACTGCACAATGTCTATATACTTGTATGTTTATATTTGTGGCTGACTGGAGAATTTTCAAATTGTAGTCGTTGGCAGCAAGTGTAGTTGAGTTTTAAATTGTTTATCGCCGCACGAAATACACGGCGTATACGTAATATGTTTGTTTATGATGCTGCGACTTGCTGATAGCTAAAGTCTGCTTACGTTTAAGACTATTGCAAGTCGATAGTTTATTTATTTTAAGCCATTTACGAGACAATTTCAAACGGTTAGAGACTAATTATGGAAGACACTACCGTCCCATTTATTATTAAAATATATTATTTAACGTTGTATGTACTTATAAGCTTAATATTGTTTCGATATGGAGTATATTTATACGAGTGTTTATCGTGAGGAAAGAGCAAAAATGTAACTAGTCATTAAATTGAATTCTATTATGGGAGAAATTGAAAGGGATTTACTCTCGAATAAACATTATTGCCAAATATTTGACGTTACATTTGATGGCTTTGCAGTCTTGCTTCAGTTTCGGCAGATTAACAGATTAAACTAATGAACAACTTAAAATTAGTTGCAATATTTTGTTTTTACTTATTTTGCAGTTTAACAAATTAACATGACTTTGAAATATTTGATTTCGAAACTTCTGAACGTGTTAGTATACTTTTATTGTGATTTATTTTTTAAAAGAAAGACTTGTTAAGAAAATCTTGAATCAAATTGTTTGTTATTTACATAAATTAAAGTATTTTTTCTTATCAGATGAATACATAGCTTGATAAAGAATCGTCCAATACCATTATATTACTCCCGAATCGAAGAGGTATTTTCCTTCCTAACTACTGACGACAAAGCCTATCATTTCCTCTAATCATATTATTAGCTTCTAGCTAAATGGCAGAAAATGTCAAAGCTTGGCAAACTACAGGAAGCGCCATTGCCACCAGAACGACCAACAATACGCCCCCGTACATTATTCCAAGTATTTACACAGACTAATTTCCTCAGACATACTATACTTACTCGTAGTCCAATCAAGGCTGTAATTTATTACTTCCCCACGCACCAATTAACCGTTGAAAGAATTTGATTTGTATGTTGGGGAAGCGACTCTAATGATTTCATTAGATGCCGGCGCTCGACTTCAGCGATGTTTGAACAATACTTATATCGCGCTACTTTATCGCTATCCAATACGCAGAACGAGTGACCAGACCAGCAATTTTCCCTGGCCCAACTTTAATTGTCATACCAGGCTCTTTACTGTACTTACATGCTACTTGTCGATACTACTTGGCACTAGTTGGAAGCGTTGACGACGATACGGCTAATAGCCTTAATTTTAGGTGTCGACAATGCTCAAGGACATTATGACAAGGCATAGGCCAGGCAAAGGACGTTGACGCTGTACATGTTGTTAAGTTGTTGTAAGCCAAGTGGCTGCTGGTAAGAGGCCCAAGGAGTTGTGAGCCACCAATGTTTAAATATGTCAAGTGTGTATGTTTGTATGTGTGTGTGTGTGTAAGTACTTAAGACACTCGTCGTAGGCATTAAGCCTAAAAGCTTGTCGGCAAGGTGCGAGCGGCTGTAATATACGAGTATGCGTTTAGTCCGACTATAGAACTGTGTTTAAATTAACTTCCCCGGCAGACTGTTAAGCGCCCGTCTGCGGCTTCCATCGAGTGTCGTGTGTCTGCCAAATAAAGCATGACGACAGCGAAGGGGACGCTCAAATAGCAATATAAGTACCAGTAATTATTGCAATGTGAACCCAGCATATGGCCGATACATTAGTCAGACATTTGTCGGCTGGTACTTACTGAATTTTCTTTCAGACACTTTCTCTCTCCCCCAGAAGCTTCAAATTGAACATAAATTCGATTCACATATCTATTATAAATCTATACTTAAAACAACGCAACTGTAGATATATTTTTAAGTTTAACAATGAAATTCTACAGAAGAAGAATTCTAAAGAAGAGCGTAGGACGAGATATTGAAGAAGGAAAGTCAGCTTCCCTTTCCTACATTTTGGTTAAATTTATTATATTCCTTTTTTAAAAACTCCTCCTTCTGCAAGCGAAGGAAATGTGTGATTCAAAAATGCAGAAGTAAATTATTGTTCCCGAAATAGTTTGGTATTAAAATTTGTGTTAATCTTCAATTTGTTTTATACTTCAATTTAGCGGTCTTCCTGAAGAATACTATTTAAAACAGTCACTACTTGTAGAATTATGATTTTTAAAAACATCGATCAACATCCACAATTGTTTTCATAAATGCGAATGCTGTCATTATTTATTGATTAATGAAAGGTAAATTGTTTTATTGTTAAATTCTAAAGGTGGAAATGGAAAATTCACCACACAGGTAAAAAAATTTAGATATTGTTTCTTCTTATGAGAGCTTCTGTAACATTGAATTGAAAATTAAACGAAAAAGTATTTTCCAGCCATTAAAAAAAGCGCTGATATTTTATATTATCCCACGTATTTTAATTTAGCATAATCCTAATGTCCTCAAATTGAAATAAACTGTTTTCTGTACTCACGTTGGATCCAGAGATGGCGAAATGCTAGCGCCATTTCCTCTGCCATTCTTGTTGTAGCTGTTACTGGAGCTGCCGCTCATTAGACGCATTGTGCGCGGCTCCTCTTGCGTTTCATGTTGCAAGCGACTTTGCGTATGATGGGCGTAGCGCGGGGGCTGATCCGCATACGACAAGCCCTCACCATCATCTGTATCCTGACCCGATTCTACATCATCCATGTCATCTGCTTCCTCATCTTCTTCATCTTCTTCGTCCTCATCCAGGGCGGAACTGTCCATGTGACGCTCCGAGCGCTGTATGGCAGGACAAGTTATGAGAGTACTATCCGATTAAGATCTGCCTGCTGTCTTACCTCGTTCAAAGGACGACTGCTGCCCAGAATAATGGTACCGCCGCCCTTATTCTGGCCACCATTGCTGCCACCCCCATCGCAATGAGTGGCTGTGGGGCATTGTTGCATGCTGGCTGGCTTCGTAAGCGGATCGCATTTGGCACTTAGGCTGCCATCCGTCGATTTGCATTCCACACCGCGCATTTGAATGCCCTGGCCGCACGAGACGGAGCACTATAATGAGTCAAAAGTGAATAAGTTCGCTCGTAAGCTTTATAAATTATTTCAATATGTATGGAGCAATAAAACGGTATTTGCATAAGACGGCAGACGACATGGCATTGTTTGTACAAAAGATGAAGCTCAAGATGACGAAGTGCTGTCGAGCAGGATTCGCAGGAGCGCCAGCAATAAAAATGATGGCAAGGACAACGACATAACAACGTCGCGGGCAACAGCGAAAGTGAAAGCAAAAGTGAAAGTGGCGCGGCTAAAACAAAAAAAAAGGCAAGCCATAAAGACCATAAGCACCCTGCACTCAAACCCCTCACAAACATATGCAAATGTGCGCCATGCGTTTTTCGCTGTCAGTTGCTTTTTTTTGTTTTTGTTCGCATTTTGTCAGTCGACAACACAGTGGCACAGAAGCTATTACACTTAGTTTAAATATTAACAGAAAAGACATATTCTTCGATTTCAATTATGTCCAAGCAAAAACATATGAATGAAGCTTCTATATTTAGTTCATTTAAAGTTATCAGAAATTTTAAAATCTTAAATGAAGACAAAAGATTACAAATATTATAAATATAAATGAAAAAAGTTAGTTGATTGTTTTAAAATATAGCAGCTTTAGACCTCATAACAATTATAACCAACTATTATTACGTAAATAAAATTCCGAGACGTTGATATAAATGAATAGAAAAAGCAAGACAAATCAGAGGTTTGGGGTTTTGTACAACAATTGTACGTTCATCCTTAATCCTTCAAAGCCTACATATAAGATTGTAATTATTGAAAAAGTTGTAAAGCATGAAAACTGCTCCGTTTATTTAAATCACCCTTCCACTTCGTAATACAAATATGTACTCTTTCACTAAGTTTATGTAAATAAAGGGTAAAATCAAACAGTTGACAACTATAACTACCCCATCCCAATAATATGAGCATATATACATCATTATAGGAGCAAAATCGCCTGACAAAATTTTATAAATAAATTATAATACTACTTTCCCAACAAGATGTGCGCCATTATAGTTCATTGATTAGTGATTCTTTTATTAAAATGTTTAATGCTGAAATACACTTTTTTTTTAATATTCCATTTGAATTCAGTTTCGCTAATCAAATGTCTAAGAGTTGAATAATTTTTGATGTTAAGGTATCAATACTCCAATTAGTAACCGAGTGTATGAACACCTGGAGGTATAAGCAATAGTAATATTTAATAACCGATAGTACCGTTAAAAGTAACCTATAGTTGACGGAGATCGCCGACTTTTACGTGTAATTATAGACACATTAAGTTTGTTAAAAACCCCCATAACTGCAATTAATTTTCGTATAATTCTATTAACTTTTTTACCACTGAATAACTAATATTACGCCCCAAAAACAGGCAGCATTGGCAGCACTTATTGGTTGTCAGATAGAGTATAGTTTTGAATGCAAATGCGAAATTAATATTACTTTCATATTTATTTTAGACAAAAAAATTAATAGAAATTAGAGAATAGTGAATAATTGTTAAAATAAATAGTCTCAAATAATAGAGGAATTCAAATATATATTTGAAACAAATAAATGTTATTTTTAATAACTGAAAGGGGAGATCACGTTGCCTTAACACACTGTGCGTTTAACCATCGCCAGTTGGTTTCACGCGGCGTATGTGTAACGTGGCATGCGTGCAAGTGACTTTGCTTTTGTCGATTTGGTTTTTGTTGTTTGTGCATTTGGTATAAACCATATGGTTGTACTTCCCGCCCTATTGTTTTTATATTTATGTACTTTTTTCAACTTGTGCAAATTTTAATGGCGCTTAATTTTGTGGCATATTTTATTAATGTGCATAAACGTTAACGAGGTTTTTTATAGTCTCGCTCACTCTTACTTCCTTGCACATCCTTTTTGGTGTTCATATGGTTGCTTTCATTATGCACAAGAAGCCTTATTATGGGCTCATGTACAATTCTCATTTGTGCAAATGTATTAGCATAATAATTTTAATGTAACTTTTTATTTTTAAATTAAAGTTCTCCCCCTTTTTTTTATACGCATGCTACTATTCATTAAGTTGTTAATAGCCTACTGGGAGCTGCAGTTAAGTTGCTGTGTGAAAAGTGAAAAAGGATTTTTGCTGAACATATTTGAAATATTACAAATAATGATAAGCTGTTTGTGGCTGCTGGAACTTTTAATCAGCTAATTGGTGCGCATATGACTCGATCTTTAGGATTAAACTGACCGACATTACGCTAACTTATTGAAACTCGATTCATTTCGTTAAATGATATGCTGTTGTATTGAGAAATATGAGCCAAAGAAATACACTTCATTAATGCAAACGAAATATTTGGGATTGAAAATGTATCTATTTAAAATTTCCTATCCTTTCCATCTGCTATCAAAGCGAGAAGAGTATCTATGACTTTTGAAATAATTGTAACTGCGTGAGATTTTCCAATTACCTAAAAAGAAATATGCAGCACTCACAACCGAAAGCACCCCCCTGCCTAACTTGTCCGAAAGTTTTTCTGGACCAAAACTTGCAGTTTCATAAAAGTGGCAGCCAGTTTTCCTTAACTCTTATGGTATTTGAAAATTACTTGAAAACTTTAATTAAAGCCAAAAATATGCTGCCTGCCAAACTAAAGACAATTCAATTAAACAAAACATAAACTTGACACCCCACAGAGCCGGAGCTAACCAACCCCGCTGTGCTGCTTAGCAACCGAAGACCCAACCAAGCGTACAAAAGTATAGAAACCCACGAGCAAACATTAATAAAGTTGCAGTTTAAATGAACAGCGCGAACAGCGAAAAAAAACAACAACAAAAACAAACTAAAAACCCAAGAACGTCGAGGAACTGCAACCAGACGGGCAGACTAACTTAAGCACCGACGCCGCCAACTTGATTAAGTTGTATGGTAAAGAGAGTGGCAGAAGCGGTAATAGCGGTAGCAAGAGTCTAGCAGCTTATTACGAGCCAGCAAGCAAAGTAAGTGAGGCAATGGCCAGAACAGGCCAGAATGCACAGCTAGACATTTAGCTAAGTACACAGAGCGGACAAGATGGGCCGCCAGCTCGTGGGCAACTCATCATCGTCAGGCTCCTCAGCGTCGTTGTTGGGGTCATCATCGTCATCGTCATCGTCAGCTGAAGAACTCGAGCTAAGTGCACGATTATTACACTGTACGTCAATAATGCAGCACAGTTATAGGCACTACGCTTTTCTCATCTACACTTGGAGATGAAATATTAAATATAGTTCTTGAAACGCAGAACTAACAAATGAAAAGCTAGTTCCATTCTCTATTGAGAAAATACTCAAAAGATAATGTAGTCTTTCGGGACTGTTCAAAATATTTTGCGTTTCGACTGAGATTTGAGCACTTTTAGCTCTTAATTTACATTAAATGAAGGAAAAAACTTTAACCTTATGCTAGCAAATGTAACGAGGACTTAATTGGAAATGATTGTTACCACTTTATGGTTCTGTGGCCTATACTATTCGATATGTGGACATCAATTTATTAGGGTTCTGTTTATACAATGCTTTATCATTCGTAATTTCCAAAATACTTTATTTATTTAATAGCAGCAATATTTTACTTCTCTTTACATTCTTTTCATGAATAGAGCTAATCCTGCTTCTACTATTAGTGGGAGGAAATATGAATTCATAAATCCAACAGCATGCAACAAAAACCAAAACATGTCGGGCTTCGAAGAAAGTGTTCGCCTATAGACAAGTAAACGTTTCTAAAATTAATTAGGTGTACTAACATATATTGCATGAATTTTTGTGAGTTTGTTATAGCAAAAAAAATTAAATTTGGGATATTGTAAAAACACAGAATGGTAGGTTTTTGGTTTCATTTTGTCTCTTAAATTTTGTATGTTGAAATTTTAATACTCTCAGATTCCTAGGTCAATTTTTATTTCATGTTCAAATTGTATTTATAAAGACTGTCTGTATATGTGCCATCCCAACTACTTTAATATAAAATGATAAATATGTTCCATTTAATTTTAAACTCATTTCAATAATTAAAAATATTTGCAATTTAAATGCAGCCTATAAGGCATTCGAAAACGAGTTGGAATTAACGAACAGTGTTAGTAAGTGTTTTTAACACAACATTTTGTTTGTTTTTAGTTTTACAAATGAAAATCGTCGAAATTGCGTTCTTCTAAGCCGTATTTACAGAAAATGCTGCTTGTGGGAAAATGGGAAACTATAATCGCTCACTTCATCTTTATCATATGATCGCCAACGACATTTCTCTACGTGTATTCAACTCTATGGTACTATGTGGTTACTTACTGCTGTCCAGTCCTCCACCTCCCAGTGCGGACATTCCTCAATAATGCAGGTCTCTTGTGTTGGCGGTTTCGGTGTACGGCACATAATATCTGCAACCTGTTATGCAAAATAGGCGAGCAGAAATAACACAGTAGGAGTGTGAGAAAACATGATGATAATATATGCATAGCTCCTAACTCGGCATTGTACCTACACAGTAGTAGAGTAGTGCCAAATTAGCAGTGGCGTGAAGTGGGGGGGGGCCCGGCTAGAAAGTGCTCACTTGGTAATGGCCACTTTTGGACAACTTTACGCTGCAGTTTACAAGCCGGCCACTTTTACTTACCCTCGTTTTAATACCGTTAGTTTCCTCGGCGCAAACAACCATGCGCTCACGGTAGCCATGTCCACAGAGGCGACTGCAAGTGCTCCAATCGTCGGTTATCCAACTGTGCATGTGAGTGGAAGAGAGAGAAAAAATATGCCAAAATATTAGCACACACAGGCACAGGGCGAAGTGCAGACTCAGGCCAAGCAGCGCTGAATTAGCCAAAAATAAATAGTTGGGAAAATAGTTTGCGGACTGCTGCTGCTGTTGGTGCAGCAAAAATCGCACGCTTTTGGTGCGATGGTTGCTACAAAGGGCCGCCATACGTTGGCTAAATGTTGCTATTAGCCACGGCAAAGTAGCCAAAAAATTGACAGTTTATAAAAGGGAAAAACGGTGGGTGGTGGGTCACAAAAGCACTACACAAATGGTGTATCTTTTCATTTGCAAAATTTTAGGGTTTCAAATGTTTTCAGCACACTGCAGTTGCTCTTGGAAAGGGGGTCACCAAAACTTTTGAAAATGTTACTACTAACAAGATATTGTCCAACAGATTATTTTACAAGGATACTGGAAAAAAGCCACAGCAACTGCAGCTGTTCTGCACTGCAACTACACGTTCATTCTACATAAATAGAATACATGCGGATGTTAGGTTAAATGAATACGTAAATCTTTCGATTAACTATATTGTAACTCATCTAGCAAATTTTTTTAAGCAGCAATCTAGTTAAATTGGCTTGTTTCGGCAACTACCAAATCACCCCTAAGTTCTTAATTTCCTTACAAAGCAATCGTACTTGTATATATTGGTTCATGTTCACCCCCACCCTAAGCACAAAATGTCAGCCATTAGCGACCCTCTCCAACTATTAACAGCTCCCTCGTTGCACCCGGCGCCAATAAAAAAAAAAAGAAGAAGAAGAAGAGGAACATTGCCAAGAAAGCATAACAAAAACCTCAAGACAGCCAAAATCAAAAGCAATAATTGATGTCTCACCAACACCAAAGCCGCAACACAAACGAAAACAGCAATAAACAGGGGAACAGTGTGGGAACATGGAAGCAACAACAGCCAGAGGACAAACAGACAAACAAGCAAACAGACTGACAGACAGACAGGCACACATACCAACAGAAGGGAGATTAGAATTTGAGGCGTTGGTTGCGCGACAGTCGAAAATTGGCGTAAAGTTGTCGGTTTGAAAATGTCACAGAACGATAAATAAGTGCGGGGGAGCTGAGGCACAAGAAAGTCGCCAACAACAATAACGACTAAGCCCCAAGGCAGAACAGGCTGGCAGGCAGGCAGTCAGGCAGTGAGGCAGGCAGGCACAGCGATAATAGTGGCTCTGTAGCAGTGGGACTAGAAGTTGACTTGAACCGGAGTAGGCAATCAGAACGTGCGCACGATAACCAACGCCATTTAAATTGATAGCTAGTTGACTAGGGGCTGGAGGAAATACGCAGACTTAGTGTGGGTTGCTCCGGAAGGACAGGTGAACAAAAAGCCAAAACAAAAGCTTTCCATCTAACTTCATATATCAAGCAGGCATGCTTCCTGTTGAGTGCAATGCTAACTAGCTATCTAGGTCGGACTAAAAATAAAGCATACTTGTAGTATGTGCTTTTACTTTTTCCAATGATATCTATATCGATGCGAAAATGTCTTCATTTTTTATATACTACTCGTATATATACAAAATTAGAAGGGGGTTTCGAAATACTAAAACCTATTTAGATAACTTCCATTTGAATAAGGATATATTTGCTACACGACTTAATGCTTTAGTCTAACTAGCATATAAATAAATATTGTAAATAATTTATACCACGTTGCCTTTGTATTAAAGTTATTTATTTTATATTCACGAGCAATTCAACATTGAAGATAAAGTGTAAAAATAATTTTAAAAAAAGCCTTAGATAATAAACACAAAAAGGCTAAGCATTTTGTTGGAAATCATGAATTGTAAAATAATTCTGTGTTTTCTTCAAGTTTTATTATTAATTTATAATTACTGTATTTTAAATAATTACTACGATAAATTCAATATCTGTTATTCCTTCAATGGTTGAAAGGAAATGCAGCTTAAAGAGCTCTATGTCTCTTTTTCTCTCTCTCTCTCTCTCTCTTGCCCTCTTTTTTAAATAAAGATGATTTTAAAATGTGAATAACACTGCTGACTTAACCCAACGAGAGCTTGTATTTGAAAGTCTTTTTAAAACTATTCAAAATAACAAAACATAACTTCCGGGACCTAATAAAAACGCTGCCTTTCAATTAAAAAACTACACAATACCACTTGGACATAAACATCCTCGATAACAGTCAAGACCTAAGCACCAGCAACTGAACCCTTCCCTATAAACTGAATTAGCTAAGTATAAACATTATAAACTTTGAATATGTAAGATCTGAGATGGTTCGATATTTTGTTAAATGTATTTAGCTATTATTTGAAATATACTGTCATTCATTACAGTATATTAAAAAAAAAACCTGTGCTTTATTTTGTGTTGTGAAAACACTTGAAACACATACAAAATTTAAGGCTAAGAGTCCATTAAGATACACAAATCAATTTTTTGTTAAATTCTATGAATGCTTATCCTCTCCAAAAGCGTTTTGTTGTCGATTTCAACTTAAGTTGTATTCTTTATTCTGCCTAATCCAGAAACACTCTTATTCAAGCGCTTAATGTATGAAAGAACATTAATAAAACTTTTTTTAATATTCTGAATACTATTCCTAGCATTTATAAAAGTTCTGTTACTGTTATACGCCAAAAATGAGGTGAACAACCAGTCCCTCTTAACTCGTTATTCGGCAACAATTGTTTCCAAATCGAAACACAATTCTACTTAGTAGCAACAACGATATAAACCCACGGAATACGATTTTATCTGCCTGTGTAGGCAATTCCCACCACTGTGCTCCCACTGTGTGGTTAGTGGTGTGCAGGTGCCACTGAGTTTTACTTACCGCGGCGGACAGCTGTGTGTATTACATGGCAGGACCGACGGCTCCGGGCGATTAGCAACGCTGCAGAGCGTCTCATCGACATCAGCGCCAGTCAGTCGATTCCTGCATATAGGACGAGATATTTTGTAACCTAAAGCGGGGAAGAAAGACAAATGCACAGAAGTTAGTAAAAGGCAGAATCGCAAATGGCAGACGACAATTTTTTTTCCGCTGCAGCTGCACTTTAAAATCAATAAAAGTCATTGCACATGGCCTGGGCGGGCTGAAGGCTGACGGCTGATGGTGGATGGCTAAGAGCGGAAGGTGGAAAGGGGGGCGTACTATGCTGGCAAGTTTTGTGTTTGCAACTTTAATGTCACTTAGGCACTTAAGACAGTCACGGACACCAGCAGGCAGCACGTAGTCAGACAGTATGAAGGTTTAAGTGGTACGGAGAAGAAAATGAGAACCTAAATAGATTTTTTGTTTCAATATAAGAGTGTATCGATAGGAAGGAATATACAAGTAAATAATTCAACAATAATATATACATATTTTTAAGTACGCAATTAGTTAAAAGCAGAAACGCACATTCTGACTAAATACTTTAAAATTAGAATTTGATTTGAATTAAAAATTTAGTAGTACTAGAATAAATATCTACAATTTCACAGTGAAAGGTTTGAGAACAACCAAGAGCTGCACGTGCACGGCAAAGCTATAGACGCCCATGAACTGCACAAACCACTTCGACCACAATTTGAAATAAAGTTGTCATTAGCAGAATAATTTAGGAACGAGTCATAGGACCAACCACAAAACACCATTACTTCAGTTAAATTGACCGTGGTGCCGAAATTTAGTGCTCGGCATTCACGTCTCTTGTACTACAAGTATATGGTAAAAATTTAAAAATCATAATACAATTTTTCATAGCAACATATTACCAAAATAGACAATATTCTAATCGTTTTTCTTATCTTTATTTTACTAATCAATCTACTTTGCCCCATCTATGTTAACGAAAGAAATAATGATTCTATTTAGCTTTTTTCCTCTCAAGCTAAATATAAAGAAAATAACCATAAATTTCAAAAAATGTCTAATAACTAATAGATAAGCAAACATTTAATTACACCGAAATAATTACACAACTATAAAAACATAAGAACATCTCCATAAAATATATAAATATTTGACCTACACTTTAGAAAAACGTTCTTAAGCAAGAACAAATTCAAGAAAACAATGCTTGTATCTGTTAATGGTTTCTTATTTTTAAAGCGAGTTTTTTAAAAATATTAATAATAACAAATGAAAAGTTTCAAATAAAAAATCCAAATTATTATAAATAAATAAATAAATAGAAATTAAAATTAAGTTAACTACATTTTTAAAATGCATTGTTCAAAATCAAACTTATGCAACATTTTAGCCTGTTTTAGTTTTTAAATTTACACCAAAAATGCCAACCAATATATTCAAATTATATGTTAATATATTGTTTGTATATTCTCCGGGAGAAATTATTAAATAAAATCCATTAAAAATTAATGTTTTGCTTAAAGAATTATTATCACTGTTAGTACAATTGCTATTTGTTTACTTCGCATCAACCTCATGTAGTGTAGTGTTTGAACAGCTAGCAAGAAGAGGTTATAGGGTACAGGAGTCTATTCTAAATGCTTAGAGCACAGGAACAGCTGCAGCTGCTGCTGTCGAATTGTGTTAGCCGGAAATTGGCAAAGCAAACACAGGCAACCCACACACGCCCACACACATATGCACATACATCTGAGCACACATCATGGCGGGAGGAAGAGCGGAAGAGACAATTGTCATGCAGAACCCCAAAGTGAGTTTTTGCTGTTTGAAAAATAGCTGCAACCCAGTGTTGAGAATTTTTGTTATAAATACTCCCAGCTGCGACAATGTCACAAAGACGATTTGCCTTGATTTTGCAGCTATTGAATTTCGTTTATAAGCTTGGCAGACAGCTGAGACAGACAAGATGGCTGGCAGCGAACTGCCAGGCCATTGTGCGCTACACATCATCATCATCGTTATCGACATCATGATGGTCGCTGCCACCGCTGCGTATTCATGACACAATTGGCTTAAGGCAATTGGTAATATCCTCTTGGCATTTATGTCAATTGTTATAACGTAAAGACGACTTCATGCTCACGGCGTGCACCGTCATGTTGCATAGCTCTGCGAAGGGGAGAGGCAGGGATTGACTCCTGGCAGCACAGCAGTTGGACTAACGCGGTTGTCGAACAGAAGCGCAATGTTCGCTCTCGGTTTTGTATTCCCCATATTTTATGGTGATTTGTGGTCAGGAAGCGCCGATTCCATCAGCAGCGAAAAGTAATGTGTAAATGGCTTAAGGATCAGTTATAATATATCAAAAGACATTTACCAATCGTATTAATAGTTTACTATTTTCGAGTGCAAAGGAAATTGCAATTATGTGCTTTATTACATATGTACAAGTATATAATAAAGTTAGCTCTCAAAAAATAAATAGGAAGGAAATTTTTTCCATATTATCTTCCGGCTTTGAAGCAATACAGCTGCTTATAGCTATTGAAACGAAAAAGTGTCCGATTAAAAGTCCTCTCGTCCAATGTCTATACATTAACAAACAGTGGCGACAGAGATAGATCGCTTGCCCCCATTACTAATTTCGTTATTATTCATACAACTTGGACTTATTTGATTGAATTTCGCCAGCGAAGCGCGCTCTAAATAGAACTCCTCTCATCATAACTCGATGTTGGCACGGCATGTTTGCGGATATAATAATTGTTCAGTTCTCAGCAGATTATAACTATAAAGCTAATTACCTCTATTGTTATATATTTGTTACGTGTTCAATTTTTTAATCGAGCCGAAAAACATAACTTAAAGCATACGCGGGAAAATATTTTGCAACCAAAAGCCCAACAAATAAGCCTACCTAAGTATCAATAATATCTAATACTAGAATCAACTCATTAAATAAATGCGATTTACCATAAAGACAGAGCTTAATTTATTTAGAGAAATAACAAGGAACACAAAAGTCCTTTATAGTCATTGTAGCTAATTGCAATTTCTTTTGAAAATACATGTTTTCAAAGTTCCAAACTAATAAGTTCCTGATAGAGTAACCTATCTTTATTTAAATTGCGATATTTTGAAAAAACATTTTAAAATTATTTCAAAACTTATTTGAAACTCAATTTGGGTATTCTATCCAGCTAATAAGCTTTTAGTAACTTACTACTTTCCTGTGGGAATTATACCATAAAGGGATATTATAGTTAATTATTATTTTTAAAAAATTGGTAGAGCGTTCATAACTTATTTAATTTAAAAAGATACTTCACAAATAAAAACCAAAGGAACTGGAAATATCAAAAATTTTAACACACTTTTCATATAAAAGGCATTTTCCAGAGAATATAACTTTCAAGAGTGTGCTTACTAACATTACGAGGTTGTTCACTTTTATCCAATACATCATTCTTTAATAAGCTTCGTCCCCAATTTCTGGTTTCAATTTTTATAAGCCGTTTGACTGCTCCGCTTCTGCCAAATAGCATTAAAAATGAATGCATTTCACACCCACAGTGCTATTAACATACACTACAATCCTTTGCTCTGCACCCACTCCAGGCCCCAAGTTCATCTAAAAGGATGTCTTGCACTGACCTGAATATAAAACGTCTGAGGAATTTGTGAGGAACGGAAAACTGACATTAATTAATCTTGGCTAAAATCGATGCGAACACGATGGCAAAGCATTCAAAAACGAGCTGAACATTTTCTGGCACGCAATTTGGCCAAATGGCTTTCAGGTCGTCAATCGAGTCCCAGTCATCGTCTTCCTCGTCGTTTGTCGTTTCCAAATATTGTTTGTAACGCCTGCTCTGTGAGTTTGCGTTTATGTGCGTGTGTGTGTGTGTGTGTGTGTTTTTGTGTTGGCCACTTCTATTGCCTTCAGACTGCATGCATTTTTAATCAACTTTTGCCCGAATGCTTTTAAAACTCTATGCCAATTTCCACTGATAAATGCCGAGGCACGAGTAGTAGCTTATACGTTTGGACAGACAAAAATCAACTTGTACATTTATGACAGTTTTATGGGGCATTATCCTGCCCCTATTCCTGCCCCCTCACATCAATTTGTTTTCCAATTTTAATTGCTCTATCATTTAACGCGCACTTAGCTGCTTATTTCCCAAACGAAACCGGAACGGGTTTGGGGCGCTGCCATGGCGATGACGCCAACGATGACCCACTGACCTATGCAGACAGTTGTAGCCATCCCACTATAATTAGATTTGAGCATTTGTCTGTGCATGGGACGGTCGTTGTTTGCTTTAATTTCAGTTTCAGTTTTAGTTCTAGTTCTAGTTCTAGTTCGCACCTCAATGTCAGTTAAATGTCAAGTGCAGTGCTTAGAGGCGGGCTCTGAGAAACAAGCAGCAACCATGCTGGGTTTCTAGCTAAAGCGGTGCATTTAAGGTTTGGGCTTCGTCGTTCTACAAACGGAAATAATTGCACACATTCTACGAAATCAATTATGTCAAATTATATGTACATACTTGTACCATTTCATGTCCATATAAGTGAAGGAATTTCATGTACTTTCATGTACGTGCTAGTTTCCAAACTAATAGTCACGAAATGGTGGTCTAATTTCTTTAAATAGATACTTGAAAGTTGTTCGAGTAACCTAATATGAAGTAGCGTCGGTAATTCGTTTCTTGGAAGCGATTCAGAATGTGTGGATTAATCAAAAATATTTGTTACATTGTGCAAGTGCTGTGCTACTTAAAAATTCAATTATCGTTAGAAATTGATTAAAATTTCACTTTTAAGCCTAATTATATTTTAGGTATTCGTATTTGTAGTTTTTTAGCAAAACCAAGAATTACCTAAACCACTTCATATATAATATTGATCATCTTTGCTACCTCAAAGAGCAGCTATTGCTGAACAAATTAATATGAATCAACCATAATTATTACCATATTAGAAAAAACATTGTTATCAAATATGGGTAAAAGGTGTAAAATCGATAAAACGGCTAAGAAGTAAACGAACGCGAGGTAACACTCTATTTCGATGGCATCCAGATTAGCAGAGTCTGGGAAGGATCAGACTGACCGCGGAATAGTTTTTCAATCTACTGCTAATAGATCAATTAAAATTAAAGATATTTGCGAAACAGAATAATCAGTGAGGTGTTAACAAAAACAGGTAATCTGAAGCTGGTTCTGTAAGAGCCAAACACTCTATTCAGAATATCCTAAATTGTACAGGAAGACTTCAAACCTTTGGTACTTATCAGGCCTCATCCTTAGATAAAAAAGGCTTAGTAAACTTTCTTGATACCTATTAAACGGATCAACATTATCTTCATCAATATATATTCTCCCCACTTTCGAAGTCTCTTGGCTATGATATCGGATATAATGAGTCATTTATTTGTATAAAAATCTGAAAATTTGTGTAACAAATCATTTGCTTCAATCTACAAGTATATTTAAATAAATATTATGTTTAAAGGAACATGCACATGCAAATCCTACAGATTTATAGGTCTTAATGCTCTGCAATCTATATTTTCAAATTGTTCAGTTGCTGATCGAATTTGGTCGAAATAGCTTTAAAGCTTCTAAAGATGAAACCTGATTCAAACAACTTATATTAGTTATTTTATTAAACAAAAATCTGTCACATTGAAATGAAGTCATCGCACATAGCGTTGCCTTGCCTTACCTCATTATAATATATATTGGTTTATATAAACTTGAGCTTGACTTCCTTTCATTATTCCTTTGCTACCAAACTATTAATGCGAACAACATTAGCTGCACTTTGAAACTCTTTATTATTTTGCCAAGTTCCACCCGCTAGCTGCTTATGATTTGGCAATTTGGAGCACTTAAACTTGTATCCCATTAGGCCACCCAACAAACATATGTATACCATACCCATTCATCGCAAATATATAACCCCAATTACGAAAAAGAGGAGGCACAACATATAGTATTAGCCTAGCTTCCTTCACTGGATACCAACCCATGCAACACACATAGCCGCGCAGAACTTCAACTGGAAGCCTAATCGACAAACTTTAGTTTCAAATATATTATTTCCTCAAGACTATTAATCATATATATGGTACCGGTAGCAGCAACAAAAACACGCAGCTTTAAGCACCTGGCAGCAAATTTCAGCACAGTTTTCAAACAACAACAATTTGTGAGCTATTTCAGCACTCTCCCCCGCCCTTCCAGCAACGTCTGAATAGTTTGGGTAGATGAGTGTGGCATGCGATGCCAGCAAAGACACGATACGTAACCGACTCCTAACCGGGCTTTTCTTTGCTATTACGTACTCCTGGGTCCTGGAGGGTGCTGGGGGTCCTGGTGGGTGCCACTCGATTACCATGCAAACATTCAATCGAAACAAATTCCAATTCAATGAAAATAAATGAGCACGACAAATAGCTGCTTGCGTTTCTACGTTTCCACAATGGTTGCCGCAACGAGGGGGCGGTGCCACCAGACGTAGACTCGTAAAAAATTTGACAGCATTTTCGCGTACAGAAAACACGAGAGTCATTCCGAAGGGTTTGTCGGGGGCTGGTGATTACAAACGGCAATGTGGCACGCCAACGCGTTCGACTTCGAACACTAGACATTGCCAAGCACTATAGTAATGGGCAGATATATTGTGACACCTAATATCGGAGTTCTGTTAAAAACACTTTCTATATAAAGCCAATAAATATTATTCATACTACAAAAATCAGTTAAAATTAGATTAAGTGTTTGAAAATGTAGAACTGAATGATATATAGTAATTAACTAACAACTTTATTTTCTATCGGTGTTGTCTAAACGATAGCCGTATACTCTTATGGATTTTTCCTAGAAATATTTTAAAAAACATAATTGCAGAAAGGAAATTAATAACTTTTTTAGTTAAGAGCTTGTCGAATTGTTTAATTTGCAGTTAGTAGACCTAACTACTTCAAAAAGTTTGAAATTTAGTTTTCTATGAAAATAAAATAACATAAAATTAAATATCAACATTAAAATTGAAATGAAGATGGCATTAAAAATATGCTCCTTGATATATTTATTTAAATGTTGACTTTATATTTAAATTTTGTCAATTTCTCTATTTGTAACAGAATTAAAAATTATTATAAAATATTCAGTTATAAGGTAATAAGTAAAACTGTGTAGAATTAAAACGTTTATCTATCTAAAATATTGAAATGCGAAATTAGAAAAAACCTAATGTATTATTCTCTACAATTAAAAATTTTCGGCCACATATTCGTACATGATTTGGATAAGTCATTATTAATTCAATAGTTTAATTTGTCAAAATACGTTCAGTTAACAGTGTAGTTCGCACCACGCCGCCGCTTGCCATGTTCTTGACATATTCCACTTGTTTATTTACACTAAGGATTTGTCGTCGTTGTCGACAACTTTGCCAGAAACTTACCCCCACCGCAGGTGACGGAACATTGCGACATCGGTGCCATCTCCCAATAATAGAGCGGTTGCGAGCAGGAGTTCCCATCGCCACCACACACGCCACAGCCGTCGATTTTCTTCGTCGAGCCTATTTTCAAATCGCAACCGACGCGCTGCAAAGAAAAGAGAGGCAAGACCCATGAGTGAACGAGAGAAGGAAAGGCAAACAAAAAACAAATATAAATTCCTACGTAAAGAAGTGTAAATCAACTGTTAGCGGTATCATATCGTAACGTATCGGCAAAAGCAAACACACACACACAACCTCGCTAGGTAATAAATAAAATATGGAAATCAATGAAATTTTTGTTACATTCAGCTTTGAGCGCCATTGCTATATACTTTTGTGTATACAGATATACATAGGTAGTGTTATATATAAGCGGCCTTAGAACATAATTTTTAGGTTCCCAGGGAAAATATATACATAGTATGTATATGTATTTAAGAAATTAGACCCTGAATAGGAGGCGTGTTTTATTTCTAAAAGAAAGCTCTTGTTAGCTGTGTATGGAAAAAGCACAGAAGGATTTTTAAATTATTAATCCACTAGCTAAGTAGTGATTCTTATTTTAGTTTCCTTCGTTTCTTAGTTGTTTTTATGTTATTATAACGTTTGTAAATTTCAAATATCTGCTTAATAATTAAATAAAAATTAGCCCTCACAAAATGTGTGGCTTAGAATTCTTTCATACACTGAAAAAAATGTTTTACTGTCTTTAATAAAATAATGTTGGTATCAATAGATCATGAAATTAGCAAAAATTGAACTCAAGTGAAGGAAGATATAAAATCCTCCTACCCAAAAATGAATGACAAAAGCTATGATGAAGTTATATGTTTAAGTTATAAAATATAACATGATATCAAATACTTTCTGACCCAGGAAAAACTAACTAATACTTCAGATTTTGTTGATTATTTATACATATTTAGAGGAATTAACCAAGGATGTTACAAAAAATATATGTATATTGAAGAACAGATCTTAAAATTATAATTGGATTTAAATGAGACATTAAAACAAAACATTCAGCTTGCTTCCATAGGCATGCATTTTATAAATTTTTGTTATATTTTGCATTTCTGTTCCTATAGTTTTACTCACAAATGTGCCACAACTATCCGCAATTAGTTGTTTTTGCTTACTTCGTACTAATTAATTGCTTTCTTTAGATTTTAAACTTTCTTTAATGTTAATGCAACAAGTAATTTTTCTCATTGTTGCTTGCTCGAGATTTAAAGGCTATGAAACACTTCAAATGCCGCTCCTATTGGTATTCCATGTTTTTTGCTAACCGCTTTGCCTAATCTTAGCATCCATTTTATCTGATAGGCATCTGCTTAATTATATTCCAGTACTTGCACACAAAATCCTTTTTTCATTACCTATAATTAATGCATAGCGTGACCGCAAATTTCTGAGAAATATCTTATTTGTAATTTAAAATCCACTGACAGCAGCACAACCCAAAGCCCAAGTCATTTGAATACCCATGTCACAATCCCCCTTAAACTATGATTATGTAGAGACCCAAAAAATTGCTTTCCGGCTCTTGTTTCAATCAAGATCTGCGTTGCGTTTTACATAAACAGGAAGAGAAACAACGCAACGAGCAGCTCGCGGGCAGCATTAAAAGCCGCCAAACTGGCAACATAGACTTTTAGATTTATTTATATCAGATATAAGTACAAATATGAGCAAAAGTAATAATATACACAACAACACGCACACACACACACGCACATAACTAAGCGCCATAGGCAGCTGCTTCTAGAGAGAGGCGCAAAATAAAACACAACGTAGACCAAACTCATGACATATTGGCGTTTATTACAACAAATTGAGGTGACGATTTGCCGGTATTACCGAGAGGAGCGCGAAACTAGGCAAAAACAGGATAAGGCTCCGCAGCAACTCACAAACACATACACACTCGCAAAGCAAATTCAACCGAAACTCAAACAACTACTGAGCTGCAGGCGAACATTTTGTTGTTGTTGTCGTTGTTGTTGCTGTCGCCAACTTCGTTTTTGACATTATTGTCGATGCGAGCATGCCAGAAGGTATGACTGTGTGTGTGCATGTGTGGGAATGTGTGTTTATCAACTTTTCGTAGCATACTTTCCAGCGCATTTCATTGCCTGCTTGACGCGCCAACGCCATCATTGCCTCAAGCACACTTTATTGGCATTTCAATAGTTGACTTTTGACAGCAACAGCAGCGGCAGCGAAGGAAATGCCTTGCCGCTCTACACTGAACCGTCATACCGCCCTCCCCCTCCCCCCTTTCTGCTTACCTGACCCCTATTTTATGATTTATTTATGCTCAAAAGCATAATGATACAAAGGAGCCTTCCTTATGCAATACTCGTATACGTACAAACACACACACACACACATACATATATGGTAGGTACCGACATATGTTTAATATGCCAGAGTTACAGTGGTTCGAAAGTTAAGCTAAATGTAAAATTTAAACTGCTGGAAATGTTACCGGTATATGGAAAAAATAATAAGCACATAATTGTTTAAGATATTTTATGCTGATATTATATAATTAAAAATTAAAACTGCGCCAACAATGTTTGTGGACTGAGAAATCAGTAATGAGTTATATCAAAAAGATAGGACCACACGTTACATGTGAGGCCACGACAAACGTAAAGAAAAGAAGAATGACGATTGCGTTTTAGTTAAGAAGACATACGATTATTCAGATGAAAGGACTGACTAATACAAAATGTAAAATCGAATCGTGATCTTGTTACATTGAGAATAGAACTATATTTTAGAATTCAGCATTTAACATTCACATTTTAACAGTTTACTCAACGTGTATATATATTATTGAATAGATTATATATTCGCTGAAAAGGGAAGGGCTCAGTAGGAGTAAAGTAAAAGACAATAGTCGCGGACCGCCGTGCGTCTGTTCGCTTTAGAGTTTTATTGGAGACTGACACTTTTGCTATACATATTCTTTATGCTTACATTCGTATGCAACAGTGACAGATAACTTGTAGATAACATAAGATTATTATCTGCTTATATTAACATGCGTGCATTGGTACTTATGTTTGTATTGATTTTCAACACCCTTCCTCAATGCAAACATGTTTTACAAAAATTTTCAAATCAAATTTAACAGCTTTGTAAAATGAACATGCTTCGCTTTAGGGAGATTTTTCGTTAAAATATCAGCTATCATTTCATTGGTTGATGTATACTGTAAAACAATTTGTTCTTCGTTTACAACCTGTCTTGCAAAATGATATCTAATATCAATATGCTTTGTTCTTTCATGGTGTACAGGATTCTTAGCTAATTGTTGAGCACTTAAATTATCGCCATGAAGAATAGTTGGAGTACTCGAGTCACCGCAGCCAATCTCCACTATAAGACGCCGTAGGTATATGGCCTCCTTACACGCAGTTGAAAGAGCCATATACTCCGCCTCCGTGCTGCTAAGTGCCACGCTGCGTTGCTTTTCAGATCGCCAGGATATGGGTCCTCCAGCCAAGTAGTATACATAGCCAGTATACGACTTGCGATCGATGCGGTCGCCACCCCAGTCTGCATCCACATAGCCGGTAAGGGGTTGTCCACACTCTTTGTAGTGCAACTTCAGGTCCACAGTTGACGCCAGGTATCGAAGCACATGTTTTACACCCACTAGGTGCTCTGCATGCGGATCTTGATTCCGTTGAGCTAACTTGGCAACGGAATGCAATATGTCTGGCCTTGTTGTAAGCGCCAGCCACATTAACTCGCCAATTGAAGACTGGTAGGATGCAATGTCAACCTTTTGACAATGCTCGCTGGTACATATCACTTGGAAACCAGCATCCAGTGGGGTCGCTGTAGGTCTACAGGTCTCGCATCCATGTTCACGCAATATGTCTTTGATGTATTGCGAATTGCTTAGCGAAATTTCGCCAAGCTCACCGTCGCGCTGCACTTCCATGCCAAGGAACAAATGCAGCTCTCCCTTGTCAACACATTCAAACGATGTTGTAATGGCTGACTTGATGTTGGCCAAGTCCTCTTTTGATCGGCATGCTATAATTATATCATCAACATAAACAAGGATTAATGATAAGTCACCTCTTCCGTTCCTTTTGTAAAGACACGGTTCATTTTCACATGCTACAAAATCTATGCCTTGTAGTACACAATCGAGCTTGGAGTTCCACTCGCGCCCCGACTGCTTCAATCCATATATTGCCTTTTTAAGCAATAAAGCCTTACTTGGATTATTGGGATCTGTGTATCCCTGTGGCTGCTTCATATAAACAGTTTCATGCAGGTCGCTATTCAAATAGGCGGTACACACATCTATCTGGTGAAGGTACAGCTTCAATTCCGCTGCTAACGCCAAAATAAACCGCACGGTTTCCAATCTGCAAACGGGTGAGAACGTCTCTACATAGTTCACGCCATACTTCTGGGAGCACCCTTTAGCAACGAGTCGTGCCTTGAAACGTTCGACTTTTCCATCAGAGTCACGTTTCAGGCTGTATACCCACTTGCAACCAACTGCTCGCTGATCTTTTGGTAAATCAGCCATCTGCCAGGTTTCGTTTGATTGTAGTGCCTGATATTCCTTTTGCATCGCCTCTTGCCAGAATACTGCATGTGTGCTACCAACGGCCTGATCATAGGATGTCGGAACCATTACGTCACTAGCAACCAATGCTCCAAGCACATTGTATTGCTTTCTTGGACGACCAGGTTTACCATTTCGAACAATTTTAGGCCGGCCTGGCCCAATCTTCACAGTATCCTCGTCAGAGTCTTCTTTTTCGACTGCACTCTCATATGCGTTGGAGCTGCTGTCGTCAGAACTGTGCTCACTGTCATCGTCGTCGATGCTTCTGTCACCATCCGTGTGAGTGACATGCTCTTGAACCTCGCATGCAGGAAAATCTACCGTAACGGTATCTTCATTGGTATGACCACCACAACGCTCATCAAATAGAATGTCTCGTTTTTCGACAATCGTCCTCGTCTCTGGGTCGTATAACCGATAGCCTTTGGCTGCTACCGAATACCCAACCATACGGTACTCATGCCCTTTGGGTTTGAATTTGCCTTTACGGGGACCCTTTGCAAGTGCAACTGCAATGGAACCAAAAACTTTTAGATGGCTAACACAGGGTTTCTTACCTGTCCACGCTTCCATTGGAGTCAGGTTGTTCAGTGCACTGGTAGGTGATCTGTTTCTTATGTATACTGCTGTGTTGACTGCTTCGGCCCACAAAGACTCGCCTAGGCCCGACTGCACCAATAAGCATCTGGACATCTCCGTTAATGTCCGGTTTGCTCTTTCCGCCACGCCGTTCTGCTGCGGAGTATAAGCCACGGTCAATTGCCTTGCAATACCATGGTGTTTCAGGAAACCGTTGAATGTTGTGTTGACAAACTCGCCTCCATTGTCGGTTCGAATACATTTGAGCTTTTTATCTGTTTGCCGTTCAACCAAGTTTTTAAATTCGACGAACTTACTGAACACTTCATCTTTCTTCCGCAAAAAATAAACAAATATACGCCTGGACTTGTCATCGATGAAGGTCAGAAAGTATTTGGATCCAGCAAGTGACTTCGTGTCGAATGGGCCGCATACATCAGCATGAACCAGTTCCAACAGCTCTTCGGCACGGTTAGTGCTTACCTTTGGGAATGGCTGTACATGTATTTTGCTTAGCATACACGTTTTGCAATTCAAGTTGTCTGGGAAAAAAACCTTTCCAATACCACGCACTAGCTCTTTGCTGATCACTTCCTTCAGACTGGTAAAATTTAAATGGCCATAACGCTTATGCCACAATGTACCATCTGATTCAGTTGCGGAATAACACCTATTTTGTTTGCCTTGAAACATATAAAGGTTCCCAACTTTATTCGCTTTCAGTATACACTCGCCGTTTTGTATAACTTTAGCAAAATGTGGCCCAAAATGTATAACATTGTTCTTTTGCACTGACCGGCTGACGGACATAAAGTTGCCATTCATTTTCGGTACATACAGTACATCTGACAACACCAAGGTACAAAGTTCTGTCTGTAACTTCACCTCTCCTCTGCCTTCGGCCTTCAGGAAACCAGCGTCAGCTAAACCGATCATTTCAGTGTGCGCAATAAATTTTGAAAATAACGTCTTATCGCAACACATATGGCTTGTTGCTCCGCTGTCCAGACACCACATGTTGTTCTCTATCTTTCCAACGTCCAACGCATTTAACAAGCTGCTCTGCTTTTCCATCTCTTTCTTTGTCGATTGCTTTTTCCCTTCACCGCGAATTTTCTCACGCTTGCACTGTGCCTTGTAGTGCCCTTTTTCGCCGCAGTTGTAGCAAACGACGATTTTTGAATTCCTTTTTGAATTCGCTTTGGAATGCGCGACGATCTGCTGCGTAGCTATAAATGCTCTTGCATTCTCGCTCTCTCCATCTGCATTGCCTCTGCGCTCTCCCTCTTCCATCAGCTTGATACATAACACATCAAATGACGGTAAATTGTCACGCGTCTCAATGGCGACGACAAAATTTTCGTATGGTTCGGGCAAGCTTGACAACAACACGATTGTTTTTAACTCATCATTTAATTCGATGCCAACTGTACACAAACCATCCAGAATTTCGTTAAATTCGTGTATGTAACTTGAAATGCTTTGGCCTTGAAACATGCGTTTGCCTAGCAATTTCTTGTACAGCGACACTTTCCGTACAGGTCCACTCGGCTGATGAACGTCCTTTAACTTTTTCCATGCCTCGTACGAAGTGTTGCAATTTTTAATGAAGCCCAATTGTGAAGCTTTTACACTTAGCGTTATAATTGCTAATGCCTTTTCATCTTTTGGCCTTGAACTCTCAGTATTACTAGGTTCAGCACCTGATGCCACACTCCACAATTCCGCGTGCACTAAGACAGATCGCATCTGTATGCTCCATGAGTCATAGTTATGCTCTTCCAATTTGTCTATTTGATATAGCGCACTCATTTTTTAAATGTTATATTTCTTGAGTCACCAAACGATTACTATTTCACAATACTTTGAACTTCTCCTATGAGCCTATATGCCCTGGGCCCATAACCTATTGAATAGATTATATATTCGCTGAAAAGGGAAGGGCTCAGTAGGAGTAAAGTAAAAGACAATAGTCGCGGACCGCCGTGCGTCTGTTCGCTTTAGAGTTTTATTGGAGACTGACACTTTTGCTATACATATTCTTTATGCTTACATTCGTATGCAACAGTGACAGATAACTTGTAGATAACATAAGATTATTATCTGCTTATATTAACATGCGTGCATTGGTACTTATGTTTGTATTGATTTTCAACATATATAATACATAGTTTTCAGTAAAGCGTGTAAAAACATTAGAAATATTTTATAAAGTTGAAGTAATATTTAAGTTTAATCAATGTAGAATACTTGTAATTTTTAAGTAATTTCGTAATTTGTAAATATTTAAAAAAAAACTTCAAATTCATAAATCTGAATACTTTAAACAAATAAGATATCTTTCAGCTCTAATAGCATGCATTTAGCATGCATGCAAAGCAATGGAGATAACAGAATTATATATTATGTATGCATATATTGCAAGGTTCAGTAACAACAACAAACATACAGTTTTATTCCACTGTAATTGAGCGAGCTTAGTTAGGAAAGGAAATATGTAAGCCTTTGTTTTTCGAGTGTGCCGCTGCCGTCGTCGTCGTCATCGTCGTTGCGCTGACAACGTATAATTTATCATCTTTTAGTTGTAGGCGCAGTTAAGTGGAAGCGCAAGGAAGCCAGTCAGCCAGTCAGCCAGCCAGGCAGGAAGGAAGGAAGCTAACAAGCTTTATGCATGCACACATACACACTCATATACACTCATATACAATATATGTACAAGTAATCGTGCAGATGTGCGTCTACATACATATACGAATGTGTGCGTGCCTCACTCAGTTTGCTTTAAGTTTACCGTAACTCTACCTAAACATTATCATTACATCAATTCGTTGGCTCACTCACACTCCTGCCACACACAACACACACACACTCGGACGCATTCAGTCTGCAGTCGTCTTGCTTACCTGACATTTGCCCTGTATGCACATATCCAGGCTACCGGAGCGGCAACGTGTCCCGTCCTGCACACGCGCCGACAATTGCACAATGACGCTTTGTTCATCATAGTGTTCGGAGTCCTCGGCGTTGCCGCCAGCCGTCTCCGGGGAGATGTCTTCGGTGAGATGTGCCGGGTGTCCTCTGTGGATTACAGAAGTAGATATTAGGTCGATATGCCATTGAGTGTGCCCAGACTTAGATGCTACGAGTGTGCCCTTAAGATGCAGTTGTTTCACAAATTTTATTTGCTTGGTTGCGCATTGAATGTAGAACAGGGAAAGGTGTCGAGGTCTTATGCACAAGAAGACTAGCTCAAGAGACTTAAGTGACATAGATTTCGATAACTGTTGGAGCCAATTTTCTACTGAATCCCATTAAGTGTGACTAAATAATTGATATTTATGTGGTTTTCAAAGCTAAATAGAAAAGGGTTTTGCAATGTCTTTCAACTAAGCATGAACTCGTATGTAATACACACAAATTTGTATGCGCACCCCAATATTTTCTAAAATATTAAAAAAAATAAATTTAAAATAAGGAATATACATAAACAAATCTATTCTAAGTCTAACTACTATTTTAAAGCTGAGTATTTTTTACTGAATTCAATTTTTTTTTTCAATAACATCATTTTGAATAAAATATATATTTTCTTATATACTCATATTTAATACATATTTGTAATATTCCAATTATATTACGTGATTAATTAAAGAACGCTTGCATGAAACTTCTCGTTTTCATTGCTTTTACTAAAAATAAAATAAAATCATTTGCTAATGAGTAAATAATTATTTGTTTCAATTCCAATTACCTCCCACTGTGATTTTAAAATGTAATAGAATTCGGGTTACTCGAATACATATCCTTCATAATTTATAAATAGAAAAAAAGTAACTAAGGACTTCACTTGATTGGAATTAAATTGTTAATAAATCGAAAACAATTTATAATGTTATAACATTTCTCTTCCTTTTTACTGTTCCAAATGATTTCAAACTGTTTCGAATCTCAAAGTTAGCAATGGGTTTAAAAGATTCTCAAAGTGACCTAAAGACACTTTTTGAATACCTGTAAATAAATTTGTTCAAAAAGTCTTGAAGATTTAAGTTTTCAAACTCACTTTGTCCTTTATTTTCCATATCTTAAACTGTAATCTTCCTTATTTCTACGCCTCCCAGCATCATTTACTTTGCTGCTTCTTTGCTAAAAACATATTCTCTTTGCCGAATTGTGTCAAATGCGCTTACTAAATCCCAAAAATTTAAAGCTTAACAATAAATATATCCGTGCAAAAATGTTGCACAACCCCAACCGGATTAACCACAAAGCTTAAAACCACAAATTCCCGTTTCCAAGCCGCGAGCGAGCCCCAATGGCTGCCACTAATTTAGACCGCAAATACAAACTGGTTGCATGAAAGGAAAAAAAAAACAGGCAAACAACTTTTTTATTGCCACATCGTTGGAGTGAATGTGTGAAAAAAGCACAACAACAACCACTTGAGAACTGCGACCTCACGGATGCCAGATGAATAATGAGTGCATATCCGCCTGGGCCAGTCGTGCAGCAACAGAGGCAGCAACAGAGGCAGCAACAGAGGCAGCCACAGTAGCAGCTGCCACAGTGGACACCAAGCCAGCAAGCCACCAGCCAACCCAAAAGCCGGCGCTGACCGACAACTGACCAGAGCCAACTGGCAAGTTTTTAGTATGCAACAAGCGGTGGCAGTCGCAGTGGTGGCAATGCCACCCTTTGTCGTGGCACTCACCTGCATGTCAGCGCACAAGGCTCAACGTAGTCGTAGTGCGGCGTCCATTTGTAGAGTGTGCCATCGTAGGGCACATCGTTGTATGCCGCACACTGATTCGCTCGGAAGTCCTGTTGCTCCGGACAGGGCTGCATGTTGCAGATGCGATAGCGAGCGCTCTCGCCTCGACAGCCGTTCTGGGTGCTGCAGCGACGCATTTGCTGCATAACACCGCCGTCGCAAGTGCGCGAACATTGCGACCAATCCGACCAACTTGACCACTGACCAGGACCACTTGATGTAGCCGATGATCCTAATGAGCTGCTACCGGCATTATTTTGAGTATTTTTCGAGCGCTTTTGTTGCTGTAAGGAAGGGAGATTACAAACATGAAGTTTTGGTTAGAAAAACTTCAGATCTATACGATTTGATTCAAATTAATAAAAACTAATGATAAGGTGTAGTTTTTTAATGGCTAAGAATATGGTATATTGGTTGACTTTAATCTAACTTTATGGAGCTAAGTACCGCGTTGCAACATTGTTACTTTATATACGCATCGTCTCTCTTTAAAAGTTCAGGCATTCAGGACACTCAAGCGGGACAATCTGTGCCCCACGTTGGACGCCACGCCAATACAGTGCTGATTTTCCAAAAGCCATATTTCTTACCGTTTGTATGTTATGTTAAGGTAGGCTTGCAAGGCATTGCCAGTGGATGTTGGTTTATTCAAATAATATTCTCTTCTGAACATAATATGATTTATTTTATAATATCTTACCTCCAACTCATTTTCCAAATCAGATGCCGTATTCCATGTATCATCAAAAGCCTGACTTGCATTCAGTTTCTTTGCCCAGGTGGCATTAGTTTGCAGCAGACAAAAAGCAAACTGCAAAGTGAATAGAAAAAACCAGATGGTTAGAGAGAAAGTTGAGTGAGTGATGGGATCAACAGAGTGTTGCCTTTGACATTAAAAGTTCAAATGATGAGTTTTATTTGTGCACGTCCCCCACAAGTTAGTCACGTTAACAATTTGCATTTGACTTCAGCATCGACTTGAGCCATGTGGGTTACATCAGCGACGCATTAACCCCCCAGCTTTGCGTCACGTATCGAAAACAATCTCGACGGGCGTGTCAATGGGTTATGCTTGTGGGCGGAGTTTGTGTCTGTATGTGGGTTTGGACGAGTGTGTGCATGCTTTATCGCGTGTCAAGTCACGTGCCCGTTCTTTGGTTAACCTAATCATAAGGATAGGTGAGAGATTTTGTATACTTAGTCAATTTAAAGAGTATATTAAATTATTGACAGTTAATGTTAGCTCAAGCGAAATGTCCTTTGGTTCGTTTTTAACAATTTCATGAAATTTAACCCTTAACCCCGCGCTGATTGTGGGAACGCTCATTGGCCACTGCCCAGTAGGGAGGCATGCTGCAAGACATGCAAGGCATCCCTCACAATGACTTCTGCAGAAACTGTAGAGATGAAGAAGAGGAGGAGAGTGTCGAACAACTCCTCTGTCACTGCCCAGCACTCAGTAGACACAGGCTCTTTGCTCTGGGAAAACCGCTCTTTAATGATATCTCAGAACTGGTAAATATCGAATGTGCGAATATCGCAAGATTCGTTAGAAGCACCGGGTGGCTACAGTAGCGAGGAAGGACAAAGGGGTTACATGATATCACAAGGGGCCTTTCAGGCCTAAGTGAGCGGGTAATAACCATTCCCCCAGCCATACCAACCTAACCTAACCTTACCCTTAACAGAAACGCCTGAGCTGATTATACTTGCAAGACTAGAGCTTAGTAGGTTTAGGAAAATCTGTAGTTCATTATAGATTTCTATATAATGGCAGTTTTCTCTTTAAACCCTCAAGAGCTGAACATACACTTATTTACTCTCTGATTGCTATTGATTTTATTTGGCAGGCAGCATTCGGAAAACGGAATTCGTAGTCGACAACATCAAAGCTATGAAGATTAACAATATACTCGTAATAAAAGGTCCCACTAGTCGGCTTAGCAGCTTGTCTAAGCCAAGGCTTAAAACAATAACCCTGGACGTAAAGCAAAGGCAACACAAACACGCCTATCTTAAAGACAAATCAGCGCCAAATGGACCACACACAGCAAATGCAAAACAAATCAACATCGCAAACAGTTGAGTTGTGGCCAAGCCACAAATCCAAAACACCCAGCGCCCAGAACCCAGTACCCTTCCTCGTCAACCCCCGTACCACCTCCCGGCACAAACTGTCTTTTGCATGAAACATGACCCAACACACACCGAGACTGTCTAAGCCATTTTATTGCAGTTTAGCTTTATATGTAAAACCCATGGCCTTCCACACACTCGCTCAGTAGGGCCGACAATCAAGCAAACCAGATGAAATGTCCGATAAAGCAAGTGTAGAGCAATAAAGGCTGTAAAAGCGGAGGCAACAAAAACTCTTAACAAAATCGGCGTAAAATCTCATATGTCCATCCATGCGGTCACAAAAGCTACTAAATTACTATTTAAGTATCTATTACCACGTTTCAAGTGTTTCGGGGCTGGCCAGCGTAATGGAAAGCCACCAGCTAGGGCGTAGATAGAGACAGAGATGCAAAGAGCCAGTGACGACCTTTTGAAAGGCAAATATACAACAGTGGGACCAAGATATTCCGACAGCTCGACAGTGCTTGGCATTTTTGGGGCAGTCATGTGGCAGGTGCTTCAACAAGATGCTCTCTGTGTATACGTTTTTGGGTTGGTGGTTAGGCCCTTGGAAAGTAGGAAAAACATTATCAGACAGCGCTGGGCAAACAAATTTTATGCACAAGCATTTTGTGCGATTCCGGTAATTATTTATTTATGAGTTGAAACAGTTTCAATAACTCACTTCTCCCTAACCGCTCGTGCCGCCTCGATCTAGGGAAGGAAACAGGCAGCTTGGGCTTCGCAAACGTCAAGCTACACGGCAAATGTCGAGCCTTGTGTGCCGTAAGTGCTCAGCGCTATTCTCGACGGCAGCTACTACGTCGGCGTCGTCATGCCAGGAAGTCATTCTAGGTAGTTAGTTAATGTGCACATTGGTGCAAGAATGATGAATTGTTTGCACGCTTCCGACATTAAAGACTACTTAAAGAAGATATTTCAGCCCTGAGCTTGATGGAATTTGAATGCGCACAGAAATACAGTTGAGTTTTATAGATGGTGGGTACATTTTGAACCTGTAAGCTCTTTCGCAGCTATTTAATAAAAAAAATTTATATTGCGAATTCATCCCAAAATCAAGCAGCTACTAAAATGAAATAGCCACTACCTTTATGTTTTGAACATATAATTATTATGTATTCAAACAGTTTTCGAAAAAGAAGTTTCATGATGTTCTGATGATGCATGTTAAGAACTTAAATAAACAGTTTCTTTTTTAATGAATTGACTTGAAACTTACTAGAAATTCTTCAAAACTAAGAAATATGTTAATTGCTTCAACTATAAGTCAAGTATTTGTATTAGTATTAATAACTTAATGGGGCCTGGAATAGATCCATATGTATTTGGTTTATACAACTGAAATTAAAAATCCATTACAATTGAATATAATACTTAAAAATGTAAAAACCACTTTAAGAACATAAACCGCTCTAAAAACATAATTTCTTGCTGGCAATATATTGTTATTGAATTAATAATTAAAATAAATAAATTAAACAAAATTAAAATGAAAACACAACAAATCTACGAATTTTTTTATACATCGCTTATTTTTGCCAATGGTTTTGGTATATATCCTTATCTTAAATCAAGAGCTTTAAATTCGTTAATATCTCACAAGTTTGAGTTCTTGCCGTGGAAAAAACGATTTATCACAAAAATATAATTTAAAATGTATTATTTCAAGTACCCTTAAATCATTTACATAAATATATGTAAAATAAATATAAATTAAAAAACTGAATAACATCAAATTGCTCATTTATTTTTATTACCAAAAATTTGTTTTAAAAAAACTAGTTCAAATATAAAAGAGTTCCTAAAAGAACAAAGGTATAAAACATGATATACTTTTAAATTGCATACACAAGGTACACACAAATATTTCTATTAGAACTTATTTATTATTTGGAAAAATATATGTTAATTTTAAAATATAATATAAACATACAGTACTTATATGTATGTGGGAATTGTCTGACAAGGGCGCACTGCCCAGCGAAAAAGTTTAAGACGATTATTGAAAACAGAAGGAAAGCCGAGTCGATGGACGAGGGAAGTCGCGTATAGAGAGCTAAAGAAGTAAGACTTATTCTAAAATACATTTTTATAGTTGTTGACAAGCACATATAGAAAATGTAATCATGAAAGAAGATAGTCGAGTAGACCAATTTCCTTATTTATAGTATGTGAAATATTTGTGGTATTTGAATGTTTCCTAAAATCTTATTGACTTAATTAAAATCAATGATTCGATGCGTAATCTTTTTTATTAAACCAAAATATTGGATATAGAAATTATATACGGTACATTAATATCCAATAACGATATCAAATGGTAAATTTTGAATTTTGTCAGACACGATTATTACAAGATGATTAGATGATTACTAGGAAAATATGCTCTGATTAACATCAATAATAATATCAAGTACAAATTAAGAACTAAAAACAACTGATACCATCTTTAAATAATTTAAGGCAATTTTTAATAAATGAATTCCATTCTAAGTACTACATATACCTATATATACCCGTTGGAATTGGGATTGTTATAAATTAAAACTTATGAGTTAAAAGTAGCTCTCTCTACAAAATCAGCTTCGAATTGCTTATATTTTACAATGGATGAGTGTTCTAAAATTCTTCTCTGAATTGAAATTTATATTAAATGCAGATTTTTTAACTTAATTTAATAATTTAAAATTGAAACCATGTGATAAATAGTTTTAAATTATTATAATTAATAAAGTAAATACAATATATTAAACATCTCTGATTAGTCTTATTTTGAATGCTCCAGTTTCTACTCTACGAGCCTTTTTGTGACTTTCATTTAAATATTTATTTTTAAGCCTTAGCCACAGTGCGCCCGCAGGCGATTCGGGTGGAAAAAAGAAGCAGCAGACAGAAGGTCTATTTTCAAAGTATTACACAATACTTGTGGAACGGCAGCTCAAAGTTACAGGCAGCAGAAGGTAATTTTTGCATAACTGCTGGGGCGATGGAAATGGTTGGTTAGGTCGGGAGGTTTGCCCGCCTCATGGTGTGGAGGATGGATGCTGTACGGCGGCTGAGACCGAAGCGTTCCGAGTAGCTCCTTCTCTGTCTGGCATGCCCTATTTGACAGCCAGTGAGTCAGACGATTAGATTGTCACTCAGCGAACGAAGTTGGGCTAAGGTAGTCATTATATATATGTGTGTGTGTGTGTGTCGAGCACTGTTGATTGTATTGTAACTGTACAAGTTTGTGTGTGTGTCGTGTGTGTGTGTGTGTGTGTGCAGTTGGGTAATGTGTCTGTGGCATCACGTCAGTTATTCAAAGAGCGACAGGCGGCATAAAACGTCAATGAGCAAAAATTTCCGTATGCAAAGTCTTTGCCGCCGGAGCGAAGGCGGGGGGTGGATGTGCCGGAAACAAAGGTAGCATTACAATAACTACCATACCAACAACAATGAAAGCGATGGTAAAGTTTAACACGAACTCGAGTTGGTCGCTATGGCAACACTGAGAAGGCAACGTCACGACAAAAGTTCTGACTCTATGGTATATATAGTACATGTGTATGTGTGTATGTTTGTGTGTATGTGTGTCGTGTCACTTGACAAGGGATGGATGAATATTGTTTGGCTTGTTGTAATACCATTCGGCTTGGATTGATGTTTGGCGGTTCCACAGGCTCTTAGATA